ATTTTTTCAGTCACAAGCAACAAGTTGATTGCCAGATGGTGTTAATACCTTCTCCCTACCTACTAGCGAGGCATATTCAAGGTTTTGGTTGAAATAATTTTTTGAGAAATTTTGTGATTTTTGTAAGCTTATAGCCTTGCTTTTTTACCAAAAATATGACGTGGATAAACTGTGTCATTTTTTGGTGAAAAGCAACAAGTTGATTGCCAATTTGTGTTAATACCTTCTCCCTACCTACTATTGAGGCACAATATGGGTTTTGGTTAAAAATTTTTTTTGAGAAATTTGGTGATTTTTGTAAGCCTATAGCCTTGCTTTTTTACCAAAAATATGGCCGGGATAAACTGTGTCATTTTTTCACTCAAAAGCAACAAGTTGATTGCCAATTTGTGTTAATACCTTCTCCCTACCTACTAGCGAGGCATATTCAAGGTTTTGGTTGAAATAATTTTTTGAGAAGTTTTGTGATTTTTGTAAGCCTATAGCCTTGCTTTTTTACCGAAAATATGGCGTGGATAAACTGTGTCATTTTTCGGTGACAAACAACAAGTTGATTGCCAATTTGTGTTAATACCTTCTCCCTACCTACCAGTGAAGCATATTCAAGGTTTTGGTTGAAATAATTTTTTGAGAAATTTTGTGATTTTTGTAAGCCTATAGCCTTGCTTTTTTCATGAAAATATGAGATGGATAAACTGTGTCATTTTTTAACTCAAAAGCAACAAGTTGATTGCCAGATGGTGTTAATACCTTCTCCCTACCTACTAGCGAGGCATATTCAAGGTTTTGGTTGAAATAATTTTTTGAGAAGTTTTGTGATTTTTGTAAGCCTATAGCCTTGCTTTTTTACCGAAAATATGGCGTGGATAAACTGTGTCATTTTTTAACTCAAAAGCAACAAGTTGATTGCCAGATGGTGTTAATACCTTCTCTCTACCTACTAGCGAGGCATATTCAAGGTTTTGGTTGAAATAATTTTTTGAGAAATTTTGTGATTTTTGTAAGCCTATAGCCTTGCTTTTTTACCGAAAATATGGCCTGGATAAACGGTGTCATTTTTTCAGTCACAAGCAACAAGTTGATTGTCACATGGTGTTAATACCTTCTCCCTACCTACTATTGAGGCATATTCAAGGTTTAGGTTGAGATAATTTTTTGAGAAATTTTGTGATTTTTGTAAGCCTATAGCCTTGCTTTTTTACTGAAAATATGACATGGATAAACTGTGTCATTTTTCGGTGACAAACAACAAGTTGATTGCCAGATGGTGTTAATACTTTCTCCCTACTTACTATTGAGGCATATTCAAGGTTTTGGTTGAGATAATTTTTTGAGAAATTTTGTGATTTTTTTAAGCCTATAGCCTTGCTTTTTTACTAAAAATATGACGTGGATAAACTGTGTCATTTTTCGGTGACAAACAACAAGTTGATTGCCAGATGGTGTTAATACTTTCTCCCTACTTACTATTGAGGCATATTCAAGGTTTTGGTTGAGATAATTTTTTGAGAAATTTTGTGATTTTTTTAAGCCTATAGCCTTGCTTTTTTACTAAAAATATGACATGGATAAACTGTGTCATTTTTCGGTGACAAACAACAAGTTGATTGCCAGATGGTGTTAATACTTTCTCCCTACTTACTATTGAGGCATATTCAAGGTTTTGGTTGAAATAATTTTTTGAGAAATTTTGTGATTTTTGTAAGGCTATAGCCTTGCTTTTTTACTGAAAATATGACATGGATAAACTGTGTCATTTTTCGGTGACAAACAAGAAGTTGATTGCCAGATGGTGTTAATACTTTCTCCCTACTTACTATTGAGGCATATTCAAGGTTTTGGTTGAGATAATTTTTTAGAAATTTTGTGATTTTTTTAAGCCTATAGCCTTGCTTTTTTACTGAAAATATGACATGGATAAACTGTGTCATTTTTCGGTGACAAACAACAAGTTGATTGCCAGATGGTGTTAATACCTTCTCCCTACCTACTAGTGAGGCATATTCAAGGTTTTGGTTGAAATAATTTTTTGAGAAATTTTGTGATTTTTGTAAGCCTATAGCCTTGCTTTTTTACCGAAAATATGGCGTGGATAAACTGTGTCATTTTTTCAGTCAAAAGCAAAAAGTTGATTGTCACATGGTGTTAATACCTTCTCCCTACCTACAAATGAGGCACAATAGAGGATTTGGTTGAAATAATTTTTTGAGAAATTTTGTGATTTTTGTAAGCTTATAGCCTTGCTTTTTTACCGAAAATATGGCGTGGATAAACTGTGTCATTTTTTCAGTCAAAAGCAACAAGTTGATTGCCAGATGGTGTTAATACCTTCTCCCTACCTACTATTGAGGCATATTCAAGGTTTTGGTTGAGATAATTTTTTGAGAAATTTTGTGATTTTTTAAGCCTATAGCCTTGCTTTTTTACTAAAAATATGACGTGGATAAACTGTGTCATTTTTCGGTGACAAGCACAAAGTTGATTGACAAATGGTGTTAATACCTTCTCCCTACCTACTAGTGAGGCATATTCAAGGTTTAGGTTGAGATAATTTTTTGAGAAATTTTGTGATTTTTGTAAGCCTATAGCCTTGCTTTTTTACTAAAAATATGACGTGGATAAACTGTGTCATTTTTTCAGTCACAAGCAACAAGTTGATTGCCACATGGTGTTAATACCTTCTCCCTACTTACTAGTGAGGCATATTCAAGGTTTTGGTTGAAATAATTTTTTGAGAAATTTTGTGATTTTTGTAAGGCTATAGCCTTGCTTTTTTACTGAAAATATGACATGGATAAACTGTCTCATTTTTCGGTGACAAACAACAAGTTGATTGCCAGATGGTGTTAATACTTTCTCCCTACTTACTATTGAGGCATATTCAAGGTTTTGGTTGAGATAATTTTTTAGAAATTTTGTGATTTTTTTAAGCCTATAGCCTTGCTTTTTTACTGAAAATATGACATGGATAAACTGTGTCATTTTTCGGTGACAAACAACAAGTTGATTGCCAGATGGTGTTAATACCTTCTCCCTACCTACTAGTGAGGCATATTCAAGGTTTTGGTTGAAATAATTTTTTGAGAAATTTTGTGATTTTTGTAAGCCTATAGCCTTGCCCTTTACCGAAAACATGTTTTAGACACCTTCGTTTTCTAGACCAAAAGCAACAATATGATTGCAATATGGTGCAAATATTTCCTCCCTTCCTTCCAGTGCTGTACGTTTCTGGTTTTATTATTAATGTTTTTGGACGAAATGTTCACTTTTTAAAGCTTGTCTTCTTACCATAACGTATAGTCTCATTATTATAACTTAGATATTTGTCAGGCAAACTGCAACAATCTGGATGCCTTTTGTTCAAGGAAATTCTATTAGAGAAGAATGTCACTTGGCAGTTGAAGGAATGTCACTCGACTATTCACTCGACAAATCGCTATTTTGACGGTTTTCTTCTAAGTAGTGATTTAAATTCAAGTTTTTAAGAAATACTTTTCTGGACAGAATGGCTAGCCTTGTTTTTTAGAGTCAGAGTTCATACTAATAACCGCACCAACCAATGTTGAAATGTTGTTGACCAAAATTGAGGAAACAGTTGACTGTCCATTTGTCAGTTAATTTTTGTGATTGTGATTCATGTCAGTTGGCACCATTGATATTTTCGTATTTATTTAAACTGCACAGGTAGATATTTCACCAAGGTAGATAGACTTTGTTGAAAACAAGGTTGAAAAATGTACATGCAAATTATTTAAGTCCATGTAAATTCACTGTGTTGAACTGCTTGTATTGAAATTTGCTATTAACGCGCGTTTTTTATATACGCTGACAGCATTAACAAGAACCAAAGTAATAATGTTGAAAGAAACTTGTTATAATAAGAATTTAGTAATAATGAAAAAAGATATCAAAGCCTTTACCACTACCAAAGAAAGCAACATTAATTTTAACACGAACTGCGAGTTTTCTGAAATTGAAATCTTCTTTATGGATACCGTTTCAGCACGAAAGTTGGCCAACTCTTTGTTCTAATGTTTCTTAAGCTGTCAGGTACGAGATTTAGACAGTCCTCCAATTCTGACTACTGTAAATGAGTGCTTCATAAGCAGTTCAAAGTATTTTAAAGCCTCAGAATTATTCTATTTCACAAAATTAAAACGCCAATGACCAGGGATGTTATCAACTGGGTTCCATGGCAAATGCATACTAACTACGTAGATTTATACCAACTAGATGCCTATTATGTGCCATTTCTACATGCTTAGACCATATTGAGCCAATCATCAAGCTAAAGGCAACATTATTGAGCTACAAAACACTATCAGAGTTGAATAATTAATAGAACAGTTCAATCGTCCCCTTGGTGTCAACTGAGACATGCGTTTGTAGTTCTTCTGCTATTCTCTTCATAACTTCAAGTTATAGCTTGGTGTTGACCTTCAAACTATGCAAACGTCAGTCCGTCAAACCTTGTTAAGGGCGGAATTGCACTGCCAAGCGATTTTATTAATGTCCTCAAAATTTGACCATATTCACTAAACAGCGCTAACACGTTTTGAGTTGGAGAGACTATTCTAAATACTGTTTTTTTCTGACTGTGGAACTCGTTTCTACAAAATAATTCCATTCTCAACAAAATGAAGATTAGAATCGGCCGGGTAATTTGCTAAGCTCTATTACAAACTCTAACTTTGAAACCTTTCATTCGCAAGTTTCCCATTGAAAGAGACTGAATCATAAAGTTTTCTTGCCAAGACATAAAGGGAATTTAAGGAAACATAACATCATTTATGTTTTTGGTGAAATGATAGTATTTTAAGCAATGGAACAATTCGACACTTATCCTAAGTTTTTTAAAGAACTTTTTGTCAAAAACGTTGAGTAGGCGATCAAACGTTTTTACCAGGAACAAGACGCACGGGATATGTGCAGAACAAATGCAAAATTGCAGACATTTGGCCATTTCATTCAAGGTGAGCAGGAATCAATGAAAGAATAAATTGCAGGTTCATAATTATATCGCATTCGTACAAAACATAGTACAAATTAAATTCAATCAAATTCGTTAACGACCATGTAAGTATAACAAGATCATTCACAAGCTGGAACTATAAATCAAACTCTAAACACTTCACTTCAGAACTAAATTACAAACTAAGGGGAATGAACTAAGATAGAGGAATGGAAGAATGTCGTGTCAAACAAAACTGATGGTGAATGCTGTTGAACTGTGGTGGTGTGTGAATACGGATAAACAGAAGACTATTGTATGGGACTTCTATATAGACAACTTACTGAATAAAGATGCTGTATAGATTATTTAGCTGAAGCAAAAGTCTCACATGGAGATCCCACGTCTATCTTCATTTCAAGCTAAGTTCAAGCTGGGTAAACAAACTAAATGTTAAGCATATGGGGGAAGGGGTACAGTATCCCAAAACGGTTACAGCCAGTATTAGCTATATATTTGCCGCCTTCAAAGTGGAAAAATATTTGCGCATTACATCAGTGAGCTTGAAAATATTACATTAAAAAGAAAACACTCTTTGCCAACAATAACAAATACCCACGCGCTAGACGAATTCTTTCATGAAAAACACACAGAGGTAAAATTGTTACCAGATTCTTCTCGACGACTGGAATCAAGAGGCATCCTGCTTCGATCTAGAAAAAAGAAGTCACAATCAATTATGATTAACACAAGATCGAGGACTACAAGGAATGGGTTGCTCGAGAGAAGAAGGTTTTACTTTACTTGAACTGGACCATCCAGGTGGAATGGGCAAACAGTTACAAAATGGAGGCAAAAATGTTTTTCATTAGAAAACTCATTCAATTCTATAAGGGGTTCCCTATTAATAGATTCAAATATTTATGTAAACCCGAGATAATTAAAGTACATGCGTAAGATGCAACACGGTGAGGTAAAGACAACAATCAAGGTTTTTCAAGCTATCATTGAGATTACAACTCCCTAAACGAAAATACCATCAAGCAACCAAAGGAATATTGACTTTTTAGAAAGAGTGTCTACTAAACAAAGAGCATTAACTGAAATGCATAAAAACGTACTTGACAGGAGTAGCCTCTGGTGCTGCCCCGATTTTATTGATAACTCCTAAAATTTCTTTATCATAACTTTCTTCTGGTACCTACAACAAAGGTATAAAAAATCTCAACAACAAAATGCATCAAGATAGTAGAAAATACATTATATTAATTAAAATTCTTTGAAACAAAGCAAAGGACATCGCTTTAAAAACATCACTATCAATGTCAAAATATAAGGTTCTGTAACATTATACAAAGCAAGAGAAAGGAAAAGGCTGCATTTAGACAGTAAGAGGCTGTGACAAAAGCTTTCAAAAAGAAGAAATGGGCCATGCCACTCCAGAAACGCATTCAGTATCTACTTAACAGCCAACAATTGCTGTCAAAACTACTCTGAACACCGTGCAATTAGCGTTGTATATCTGTACTTTTCATTTCTTTTCCGAATATTACTAATTCCCCTTTCATCCAAGAACATTATGATAGTCGAAGCATACATTATAAAACAGTCACACAAAAAACTTTTTCAATCAGCTACTCTATCGTTTTAAAAAAAACTAACATCTCTCTAGTGGGTATAGGGGGATGGCTGAATTTTCTCTCGAAAACTGACCTAAACGTTGCAAAACTTTTGGCAGGGGGTTTATTTAGTTCTCAAGAAAATCCTCTCCAAGGGATTGGGAAGGAAACGCTTAAGAGGTTAAAATGAATCGAAAGAAAACTGTACCTTCGTGACAGAAGATTTTGGTGGTGTTATAGATCTGCCTCCACTCTTGCCCGAAATCTCATTAATCTGTGACAAATCAAGATTTTCTTATTCAAATGCATATTCCGAATAAACACCACAAAGGCAATGAAAATTGACAAGACAAGGAAAATATAGACACATTTCTTTGAGACAATAAGCGGTTAAGAAAGAAATACACTGTATTGTAGAGGGTTTCTCGTGGAATGAAACATTTCTAATAAACATTAACAAGCATTGATCACCTGCAAAATGGACAATCTTAACGGGAAGGTTTGTAAAAAGACTTTGGGACTTTTAACTATTCTACCGCAGGTTATCCATATATTTGCAATCAACTTAACAGAGGTGCAAAAATAGCATAGTAAAACATAGCAATGTACCTCATATGAAAAAGAAGTGAAATCTGCCTACCGTTTTTTGCATCTTAACAGCCCTGTGTGTAGTTTGATTAAGAAATTCTGAGCTCTCTTTCGTCCTGGCATTTTCCTCGCCAAACAATTTCTTGTAGACATTATAGGTCGCCTTTTCACTAGTCACAGCTGCCCTGTAGTCACCAATGCAACACTGAGCTCTGGCAACCAAGTGGAATACAGTTCCTGTCTGCAGACTCTCTGCACCATAATATTTCAGATGTACGTTCAATGCACGTTCGAGGAATTTCAATGACAAATCGAATTCTCGCTGACTATGAAGCATTAAACCAATGTTTGTCTACGAGAAACAGAAACAAGTTTTACGATGAACCTAAAATATAAAGGGATTCAACTCTACTGGAAATGATGGACAGCAGGTGGAGGAATAACACGTCAATACCCCTCTCTTCTCTTCTCTTCTCCTACCCTACCCTACCCTACCCTACCCTACCCTACCCTACCCTACCCTACCCTACCCTACCCTACCCTACCCTACCCTACCCTACCCCTACCCTACCCTCCCCTCCCCTACCCTACCCTCCCCTCCCTCCCCCTCCTCTCCCCTCCCCTCCCTCCCCTCCCCTCCCCTCCCCTCCACTTCCCTTCCCTGGGTCTTGAGCAAAATCAAAGCAGAGAGCGTCCATTATCGCTATGTCGAAATATATAACAAGGATAATGGACAGAATCGACGTGAAAACTGAATATACTTGCTAACATGATTAAAAATCAATAACGATTAAAGAAAAGAAAAAATGCAAAACACTCTACAATTTTTAAAAGGACAAACACAAGCAGCCAGGTGGGATCTTAATACAATAATAACTAACATCAAAGGTGGCCAGATCTGGATGGCCTTCTCCATAAACCAACAGGGCCAAGTATCGTGCTCGGTACATGAGTTTCAAAGACGCATTGACAAGACCTCCTGTGTAGCAGTACAGCGCAAGATGAACCTGCAATGGAAAAAAATTAGACTCAACATTGTCCACAATTTCAATGTATAACGTAGATGCAGAATTTTCAGAAAATACTGAAATGAAAAATGAGGAAGATGCTTTTGATGGTGAGGCATCAGGGAAATGCGTCAAAGTGCATCATTTAGAGTGGTGCTGCAATCATGAGGATACCAAGTTAAAAATCTAAAAACAATCAAGGTTAGAGCATATTGAAAGAAACGCTAAAAGTGATTTACATAAACAGTTGAAAATACAGCTGGGTGCAGGCTATTCTAGATGCATTCGGCAAATTGATTATCACGGTTAACAGAAGACAACTGCGCTGTTCTTGCACTCCGTCATTAGAATAAAAAGAAATGACCAAAGTGAGCACGCTATTAAAACAACTGCAGTAATTTTCATGTGGGCCAATTCATGTGAAGTTTTGCCATGGGCCGAAAGGTGCTGCAACATCAAGAAAATGGAGCACTTAGCATTAAACAAGAATAGTAGGTGAATCATGTCGCTTGCTTAAAATCAGAAAAATTATTCACTTACATATGAATTGATTGTTTCTGGATGATCAATGCCATAAATTCTTTCGCAAACAACAACAGCCTTCCTTTGATATGATACTGCCTACAAACAGCATATTAACGCATATTAATTATCTAGCCAAAAATACAAGATAGATAAAATAAGGGAAGCAATTTAGATTACAAGGCAAAGGTTTCTAGAACGGCTCTAAAAAAGGGTTCTAAAGTCAGCATAGAAAATCTAATGGAGAAAATATCAAACAAGGCTCTTGAAATCACACTTAAATATATACACCAAGAATCTCGTTCACGAGGCAATCACATTGCAAAGACGGTATAAAAAAGAGTCTTTCTTCTTAAATACGAATTTCTCCTTGGCATGAAACGACAGGTCATAGAAGCGATGACCGGTCGTGATTAACAAGGAATTTTATCTTTCCTCACATTCTCGGCGTTTTCATAACAAAACGAATTAGCTTCGCGCCATTAAGTAACGAGGAAGATATACCTTAAAAAGTTAATCAACATTTCTGAACTATCATGAAGTTCTAAAGAAGGAAGTGATATATTCTTTAAGGACAGTGAACAAAAAACATTCTCAGTACCGATGACTTAATTTTCGTACTTACTAAAATACTAATTGCGTTTGTGATTTAAGGACTTACATACGAGAAAGTAAACTCGAAATAACTTGTAATTAATCATTTTTACTAAATATTCTTTGGGTATTGGATTCTCTTTCTATTTAATCATTTACCAGGAAACCAATCTATGCAATGCAATGCCATGCCACTGTTAAATGATTCCATTCGATTTTAAACCGTTGGGTGCAAATATCGAACAGTCGAAAGCATAATTTTGAATTTTACTTTCCACAGTTGAAAGTGCTACCTTAATCAAGGTTTTTCGCGTAGAATTAAGGAATTTTCTCGCATAGGTTATGTAGATTTGCATTTGGACAAACTAGGGTCGTCAAACTATATTGCTACATATTGTCAATGAATACTATCTTTTAAAATCTTGAGAGCATCCGAAAATCATAACACTGCGAATCCACACGAGCATCTCTCACTGCAGTTCCAGACCCCACGTAGCGTAGACGAAATAGAGGTTTAAAACTCAAGGCATAACGATACAATGGACCCAACTATAACGCCTTCCCTAATTTCAGGTGAAACCTTCCTTAAACTTTTTTAACTTCAATGCAAAAAGTCAGCATGCAAAATGCTGGTGTAGAAAGTCTTCGATCAAGTCTTTTGTAATAATGAATTTGTAATGTAATGTTCAAAGGTCCTTGATTGATAGCAGCAAACTCATTTTTGCTGAACAAGTTTACCTGTATAAATATGGTCTTATTATTATTATTATCAATTGAATTTAAAAAAAACCTCGAGAGGAAAGCAGTGATACCTACATCGCATCCGGCAACATATATGTATATTCTAGATAGGATGTCATTCTCCACTAAAACATGTCATAGGGCATTGAAATACTGTTTTAGGTTAGAAAATATGAAGTAGCACTAACCTGTGGTACGTCATCAGCCAAGTAGTGAAGTCTGGCAATAGTTCTGGTATGAGAGATGAAAAAGATTTTCAACCAGTGCCAATTTTAAAAATAAACATTCAAAGAGAGACGCATTGCAAGTGACATATCACGCTTACTGGTTTGCTAATATTGATTGACAGGTGGCTTTAGCAACTTTTGTGTCTGTCGACTGCCACGGAGGAGCAAATGCAAGGTTAACATAGATAACTATTTACTAAGAGTGTCTCCATGGCATGAAACGAACATTTGAAAAAGACTCAAACGGCGTGATTTAACATGGAAATCTATATATCCTCAACTGGCTTCTTATGTTATAATTGTCAAAAACTGACTAAACATAAACCGAATATGAGGAAAGGTGTCGGTATGGCTAAAGATATATTCACACTGTGTGGATGATTTCTTTTTTACTGTGTGAATTTCAACGGGCAACGCGAACTTGTTATAAAACCTTTGTGTGCTTCTTTCTTCACAAGCAAACTAACAAAACCAGCGAGGAATCAATAGTAGTATTCCTGCATTTAGATCCCTTCATTGTTTAATTTTGATTTTCCCACAGATCAAAATTGGGAGGCAAATGTTCACTGGCCGATGATGCATTCTAACATCACTCATTCGAAGCCATCTCCGGAAATCAATTCTTTATTTGTGCTGTGGTGAAAACCAGTTGTATCTAAATGCGATCAATGCATTGAGCAAAGCTTTAGAAAATCCTTTATTTAATGGCACATTTGTCTCTCCTACACTCAACTAGCGCCATGATCCAAAAAAAGGACGTCATATCATAGAATATTTTTTAATAAAAAAATACGACTGATCTTAAGGGAGAAAATGATACTATCTCACAGATTTTAGCCTAAAAAGAGAGCCATTTAGTCTCCCATAACATTTGCATTTCTTCAGATGGGAGCGGTTGTGGCTGGTATCAGTTAAGCATGCCCCTGGTTGATTTGCGTTGGGCTGAAAGCAAGAACAATAAATTATCAAAGCATTTGACTTAAGATACAATAAATTATCAAAGCATTTGACTTAAGATACTTTTGTGTTGCCTACCTGTAACATACTGCAATGTCACCATGTAGTGGACCGTAAACTTGATTGAAAATGTTCAGAGACTCTAACATGAGATCGTGAGCTTCACCAAATAATCCTGGAAAATATTAATGAAGTTAATACATAGAAATTGGAAACACAGTATTGATTTGGAGGAAGCAAATGTCACTCGAAAAAAATCTCGCAACATTCTCAAAGTACGTACACTTGGAAGTGGGAAGTGGGTCGTTGTTCAACAAAAGTATATGATCATGAACGGGAGATGCGGTTCAAGAAAAAGTAAGTATGTTCTTTAGTATTCTGTGATATCAAGCCCAAATTAAAATTGCAAACAAGAGTAGCGATTTCGGGGCGTCAAAAATAGGGTTATAGGTGAGGGGGTGCAAATAGCCCACGATACGTCCCCGTGAATGTCAGAATCTAGATGTAAAGGTGTTACTAGATACTCTCTTCAAATATTGCAGCCAAGAAAACAGCATTCATTAAAACCCCCGGCATGAAAGTTTGATGCCAAAATTTTTTAGCAACGTGAATGATGTTCATTTCAATACCTGCTTGAAGCTTAGCTTGGGCAACTTCAAAGAGAGCATTGCCATCGTTGCCCTGTAAACAAATTTAACAGTAACTCAAATTACTGGTGCAAGACAATTTTTTATAAAGCAATCTATAGGTGCATCTGCAAGGTTAAAATAGGTGAAAATTGGATTCTAGAAGTGTCTCCATGGCATGAAACGAACATTTGAAAAAGACTCAAACGGCGTGATTTAACATGGAAATCTATATATCCTCAACAGGCTTCTTATGTTATTATTGTCAAAAACTGACTAAACATAAAGCGCATGTGAGGAAGAGAGGTGCTATGGCTCAAGATATCTACAAACAACCATGCCTAATCTTCATTGCCGTTGAACAGGAGCTGATATTCACTTAGATGCACGTGAGCGTTGACTGACTTACTCTTCAATGTAGCAGGCAATAGCAAAACGAAATCATTGTGTTAACGTAAATGAAGCAACTTAGGTTTGAAAAATGTAATGGACAAACATTTGGTTAAAAGCTTCTGAATCTAATAACATAATTGCTTTGAAGTGCAAAAGGCTGAGCTCCATGCTCAGATACTTTGTTTGGATGAAGATGTAGAGTGTAGATGTATGAACGATAAATAAAAGGAGTAAAAATATATATATTTCAACTAAATATAAGAAAGTTTGAGTTCTATTCTTAGCGATAATCGATTGTCCTAGTTATTACAGCTTATTCATTGTGCTAACTTCTGCTTTAAGTTCGAAGTGCACCCACCTGAGGCTCGACGTGCTTCACGACTGGGAAAATATTGAGAATATCTTCTTCACTGAATGCAGGATGTTTCTTGTTGTCCATATCGTAGTTACGAAGAAGAAGCTGTACACCTTTCAAATTAAGAAAAAAAACATCAGCATGCATTGGACGCCAATATTCATTTCTGACAATTTTTCACAGTAAAACATCTTAATTAACATTTCGTAATATCTTCTTCCTTGCTTCTAATCAACAGCAAAAGTCTTCATATGACGAAAAGAAAAGAAAAGGCCCCGTGCTCACTCCAGAGATACGCGTTTTGAAAGCTCAGTTACTAAAGCAATAAGCTGCATAATTTAAGAGTAATTAATACCACATCCATAGGATCACATTTTTAAACACCATTTGCAGAGATTCTCATAATGAAGTTTTTTACACCAAGCTGTAAGGAAGCTCTAATGCCTGACTGGAGACTACCAATTAACTTTGAAGACGGAAGGGTTCAAATCGAAACAAACCTGATTTTCTGCACAATCCTCTCAACAGAGACAGCTTATGAATTTTGTAACTTTCTAGAACATCCTCAGGCTCACCACTGAAATCAAACGTCAAGTAAAAAAATATGATTAAAGCAAATACTGGGAATATTCAAGAAATTTCAATATCAAAGTCTCTGATTCCTTGAGCGAAAAAATTGGGCTTGATTGGTTGGGCTTTAGGCGATAAGAATTATATATAATTTAGGCGATAAGAAACTTTGTCAATTATAAAGGCTCGTTTAGTCATTTTCAGAGGCATAGCCAGGTACAAGCTTCGAGAAATAAACAGAGGGCAGTTACCTTTCAAGTTTGAATCCAAAGTGATTTACAATTTCATCCCTGATCTCCTTCCACAAAATGGATGGCGTTAGATTAACCCACGCAACTACAACAGTAATTTGGTTTATGTTAGAACCGACAGTGAAAATGAAACAGAATAGTACAAAATTTGCGAAGATAATAATATAAATAAAAAGAATGGCTTATCAAGGTCATTATATTTGAAATTATCCTTTTCCTGCTAGCAACAAGAATTACATTGGAGAAGCTTTAATCTCCGAAACTGTTGCTATTCAACATTTTTCAAGGGGAGGAGGATGCTAATGAAAAGATGCCAAATTTAGCATAGTGTTCCAAGACTGTTGGCAGGCATTGTAGCTTTATAATACAAGGTTTATATTGGTTGAACATATCCGCTCGGCTACATCAATACTCTTTCGGCTGAATAATTGTTTATTAGGCCTTCAATTTGACATTATCCAGCTTTAACTCACTTTGGTTATTTGAAGAATGTGCAGTCTTGCCCTTCTTCTTGTTTTTCTTCTTTTTTATTGTCTAGAAAGAAATTTACAAATTCCGATGAAATCAAAGACCCTCCAAGCGCTTAATAAGGCTAATAAATATAAAACCGAACTATGCGAACAGTTGGTCAAGAACTACTCACTTCTTCTGGTGGTAAGTGTGGCTGTGGTGTTGGAAAAGCACTCTGCAACAAACAGATACACATATATATATGATGCAAAGTCAAGAAATGAAACAAAAATGCTAGAAAAAGAAAACCAGGGAACGAGGGCCAAGCAAGGGAAGAATCACGTAGCCATTTGTGCATCAAAGGCAAGAAATGCCATTCAAATCTGATAGCAAAGAATCTAATGGCAAAATAGGCGAAGACGGAAAAACTATCGCAACGAATTGAACAAAAATGGTTATGAAATGTTTCGCTCTGTTGTGGTTTTCATTAGTGTCAAATTTTTCGACTACACAAGAATATCAATAATGTAAAAAGGTAAAAAATACAAGAAAATTACCACAACGACAATTAATAAATAGTTTGATACATACCAGGAAGCAGTTGAGAAAATGACAGACGGCTGCTGACAACGTTCGTAATGTTCCTAAATAAAAAAGGAGGATTCACAATCTTTATAACAAATGCATAAAATTATATTCATAAAATTTGAAAATTCACGTAATTTCAAGTCTTGTTTCTTTCATTTAGAATGTTTCTTTCATCTTAGAATTTTTCAAGTTTTTTTGTCACTGGCATAGAAAAAACAGGGCAACGCAATGGAGCGATATTAAATAAACTCCAAGCTCAGGACTACGGTTGGTATCCTAAATATTTGACAAGGGATAAAATAAAGAAAATTAATCAAAGACAAAATATTGCACATGCTGCAAAACTTCAAGTTTAAGTGTCAATTAAGAAGAATAGGGTTTCATAAAAATCACTGAGAAAGTCATTCACAAACCACGATGCAAATCAGGAGCAAAATGATAAATTTGCAGTGCGATAGCTTTCTATCCAAAAAGAAACAATATTTTCATTTCAAGCTGAGGAAACAAAAAATTAAATCTGGGTTGTAATTATAAGTAAATACTTACAATTAAAAATACGGTGTATTTTTAATCATGTTGTTTGGACGAATAAATGACAACTTACCACTTTGCAAACAGGATTTGATCTGCTTCTTAGCTGCACGAAGAATCATTTCACTGACAGCTATCCTCTGAAATAATAAAACAAAAACAAATCAAATACAGTTACGGCGTTTTTAAGGCATATGAAATCAATAGATGATGGTCTTTCGAGCTTATAGGTAAATATCGATTGGAAAACTGAAAATTTTCATGCAATTATGCGAATGCTTAAGAATAAATAAAATAAAAATTATCAATTTTTTTCTAGTGCTTAACCAAATAGTTATATACAATTTAAAATGACTAAGGAATTTTCAATGATGCACAAAAGTATAAAAAGCTTACATGGACATGTTGTAAATCCTCCCTCAATGCACAGAGAGAAGCAACTTTGCCAAGATACCTCATATTAATACCCCTATAACAAAAAGGATGTAAAGAATCAATAAGAACATCGAATTAAGAAGGTGAATCGGTAAGATGTGACACGAGGACTGCCTCGGGCAATGGAGAGTTAAGGACAGTCTACACGCGGGTAAATGTGACAACGACGGAAAGATATATAAAATACAAAATAAAAATACAAAAAGCCAGTGTTTCTTCGAGTAAGGAATATTGATACAATTTGATACGAGATAGATGCTATTTAGCAAGTTTGATTTAGAGAAGACTGACTAGAGTTAGAAAAATAAGGAGCTATTGGAGATTAGAAATTAAATAAGGGATTTTGAAATTAGAGAGGACCGAACGTCTATCAAATATTCTGATCTATTTGCAAATAATTTAAGTCGCGACCACAATCAATTGCGTTTTGCTAAAAAATAAAAGAAATAGAACAAACAACAGCAGTGAAGAGAAATGTAAGGAATAAAGTTTAAATCGTACCTCGCATGCATTGCCTCAGTTAATGCCAATCCGTCCAGAGGAACAATCGTTAATGTGATAAAATCTTCAACCTAGAGTAACAACAGAGGCTATTTTGACCCTCCTATTATCATGTAATATCATTACTTAAGTATGTACTATACAATATTAATTGTAAAAAATACATAAAATAAAGAGTTATTACACAATACTGAGAATATTTTACATCGATTTTCGGGTATAGTATAAAAAATAACGAGGGTTTAATCAAACAAATTATCGTTAAAGCTATTACTATTTATAAAGATATTTCTTGAAATGCCTTTTTGATTACCATCAAGTGAATCGAAAAATTACTGAAAATACAACATAGCAAAGCAATATCACGATATTTCATCTTATCCTTCTGGGTGCTATTATCAATCCACATACCAGTTTTGGTACAACAGTTTCTGACAGAAACTTTGAAGCATCTTTAGCGAGTACTTTGTCTTTTTCCAAATTATTTTTCTAAGAAAAAGTCATTGGTTATAATTGCAAAATAGATGTGGAAATTCAGTTCTTTAAAATCATCCACGTTTAAAAATTTTGAACATCAACATACAGCAAAATATACATTAATGCTATCATTCATTTAAAATATTCAAAGCTCAAACATAAGAAACACAGTCATAGGAAATAAGGTTTCGTTTGAATTTGCAACGGTTTACAAATTGAGCAAGTCATTTACTTAAATATTAACCAGTTAGGTTAGCAACAACAGAAAACTCCATTATACGTTATACAGCAGAAACTCCATTAACCAACCTCTGATTCAGCATGCTTTACCTCAGCAACAAAGACATCCGGGTTGAATTTGATATCAAATTCTAAGAAAGAGAGAGGCTAAATTGAAGTGACGATGCAGCTGTGATGCATTAATTAATCAGGCAGTAAAATCAACTTCCATATTTCAACTAACAGGATTCCAGTTACTGATTGCGATGGACGTAAATTAATAATTATGCTTTTACTGGATTGCATTGAGTACAATATTATTCTATGCCATAAGTAAACTTGAATTCCACGTTAAATGGATTGATCAACCGACTGATTCAAGTGACTGGTTGATTGATAAATGATTGCTTGGTTGATATATTGATAAGCAAAGCAGGAAGATGATTGCTTTCAAGTGATAAAGGGCTAATAATATAACAAACTTTTCAAGGGATAACACACGAAAACAAACTATTCCTCGCTCAATTCTTATGAAGCCTTTTTTTGCTGATCTACTACAATTTAGGGATACACGGAAACACAAATGACACACAATGCGATATCACATACCTTTGTCACTGAGAGATCCGATGGTGGCAGCAGCTGCCTTGACAGCCTGCATTGCAATTTCATCTGACAAAACAATAACAAAATTAAAAACTAGAGCAACGAGTTAAATTCAGAAATACTATACACATGACATTATGACAACAAATATTTCAACCTTAACAACCACTTCATTCTAAGAATATTTAATTTTACATTGAGAACTATCATGAAAACATTGAGAGCTTTTACTTTCTTACATTGAGAAGCATAATTTGAAAATTTTTGGCATCCCTTTCCAGCCACGAAAATTTCGTATTTACAAATTTCCAGGATCAGGTCAAGGATTGTCAAGCACGCACCTCTTTCTTTCTGCTCCAATTTCTTTGCTTCTTCCAAATCTTTAGCTTCTTTTGTGAGCTCCTCGCCAAGTTTTTCTAAATCTTCTGCATTTCTAATTTCCAGCTGTTGGGTATTTTCAATTTCTTTTGGATCAATTTTCTTAATTTCTTCAGATTCATTTTCGATTGCTGCTTCTGCTCCCTCAGCAGCTTTAGCCTCTTTGGTTTCTTCAGTGTCACCGTTCGATAAGGCTTCCTTCTAAAAAATCAAGGATCAGCTATCCATATATCTTTATCAATTCAGTTCTGTATATAACTTGAAAACAAATCATTTATGTTGTTTTTGTTTCGATAAACGAAATTACGTCATAGTAAACTTCATTCTACATCAGCTTGTCGACAAGCAAATCTTGTGAGCATCTTTATTCTCAGCAGAAAGTATCTTCTACATTCAACCCTATAATCATTGTTACAATCAAGAACATATTTAAAAGTACAAACCTAAAGAACTCTTAGGGCTTTTTGTAGAGAAGCTAACCGATTAGAAAAAACTAAAATTTCATGGAAAGAGAAGCTTCCAAACGAACCTCTTTCTTGTCTTTGATAGCTCGTAGTTGCTGGCTGTATATTGCAATGAGCTTTAGGAAGAGCACGTATCGGAAGCTGCAAATAGCAGAAAAAACGCTCAAGAGTAGCTCGCAAAATAATGTGACAACTTTAGATGACACTTTCAAACCTATATTAACTGAGACAATTGTGAGACAGTGTAAGATCCCTAAGGTTAAAGGTCTCATGGTTGCCCGCTTTATGGAGACTCCGTTGTATATTGAGTTCTTCAATTACGACAAACAGTAGCTTGCAGCCGGCTAGAAAACTGTTGAATGAAGTAGATAAACTCGAGGAACTATAAATAGCAAAAGGCCAAGATAATCAAATCCTCAGTCCTGGTAAGAGATGAAATTCTCTTCGAATTGTCATGTATCATAAAAAAGAATTCTTTCCTTTTAAGTTTGCCTGTTGGTAAAATTTCTTCAAAAACTGTCTCAAAGAACAGCAGATTCATTTTCGCTTTGAATAGACAGTACTGGAAACAGATGCATATATCCATTTTCTCTACAGAAAGGATTATTTGATCATGAATTTAGTAAAATAATCAAACATCCAGTTAAAACTTACCCCACAAATGCATCTACAAGATTTTGTCGCAAAGTACAAAGTTCGTGGGAATACTGAGCAGGAAATTCAAAAGTGAATTTCTTTTGCTCATCTTTTGGTGTCGTTGATTCTGTATTTGTTTGTTCCTCGTTAGACTTATTCATTTCTCCATCTTCTTTCTTTTCTTTTCCTTCTTCCTTTCCTGCAGCCGCATCCTTCTGACCATCTTCTTCAAGTTTTCCATTTGTAGATATTTGTTCTTCGTTTTCTTGTTCACTAACGGGTTCCTGTTTCACATCTTCCTCCTCTGATTTTTCAACTTTTTCAGTGTCGTTGGGACATTTTTCAGCATTTTCTTTCGCAGCTAAAACACAAGAGGAAATCAATCAAGGGTAGAAATCTCAGAATCTAAAAGAGTAGTGAAAAAATCCATGGTAAATCGACAAATGATTCACGAAAACTAATTTTGCACCTCAAGGAATGCACGACCCACTATAGAACACTAATTTTCACTTCAGAATTTTTTAAAAACGACAATGATGGCTTAGGACTACACTCTTAGTGTGGCTCTTGCTTTAGGAATATTTTCAAAATATCAAATCAGAAAAGAACAAAGTGAAAATATCAGGGTGTACAAGACAAGATACCTACCCATTAATAAGCATTAGACCCTATAATGAGCGAATGCACACAGACTGTTCTTTGAATTTTCTCTCTTAGTTCTCTTCTTTAACAATTTATTTATTGATCTTTAGCAATATATATATACTAATATATATATTATAGTAAAAACCAAAACATTATCTGCACGACTAAGACCAATACATACCTTGAATGAAATTGGTATCAGGTGGAAATGTCCTAAAAAGATCTAATATGTAATGACGGCCATCAGCTCCAATTATTCCCTAAGAAAAAGAAAAAGCAAAGTCATTAAAAGCAGGAGAAGGTCTTTTAAAATACCTTAAAAACAGCTTTCTAATCTTTGTCATAAGTAAAATACATAAAATGAAACAGCTGCAAGAACAAAAAACATATTCAATTCAACTTTTTCATATAATGGAACCCACAAATACACCTAAATTTGCACTAAAGGAACAAAACAGCATACCTTGCATTCCATTGATGAGCAGAGTTCAACTTCTTCGCCCTTCTCGCTGCAAACTCTATATCAAGAAGGCACAGAATATAAACGTAGTTTGTGCATAAAAGGAATCTATATATATTAGCAATATTTTTCAACACTTTCTCCTTGAAACTTTTCCAAAAGTCATTCCTTATTCACAGCGTTTCGGGATCCGTACCCAAAACTATAAAATTCCACACATGCCTTGAAGAAAACCAACAGATGAAGTATCCGGGGAAGAAATGAGGAATACAACATTAAGACAACATTTTTGGGTATTCCAAAAGATTTTTGGAGGCCTAGTAATGAACAGCATCGCTTAACCTGCTTTGGTAATTCAAAACTTGCTTCGACCCTGCGAAGAAACCGAACTTAAACAACAGAATTGACACAAAACAAGCCATTAAGGAGAAGCAGTCTGTGTGTTCTGCGGTGGAGTCACAACCACGGTTGATTGCGTTGTTGTGAATTTGAGCAGAGAAGCACTTTTCGGTGAAAACTAAAGGCATTTACAGAAAGACTATAAACACCAAAAGGAAGAACACATTTCACCGAAACTAGCTTCAAATATCACTAGCAACTAAAAGTTTATAGACGGGCAATGTGAACATAACTACTAAGACAAACGTTTATTTGAACAGGGCATTAATCAAGCTCGATCTTACGTCATAGTTAACATTTAGCACATATATAAAGACTGTCTAATGATGCATCAGTGATACTAAAGGGATTCTGGAAAAATACGTACTTATGTGGTCGGGTACGTAGGGTTTCTCCTGCCTTCTTCAGCTAAAATATGAAGATTGTCATCATTTTTCATACCCTTCTTCTAGAGAATTGATATAAAAGCATTTGTTTACAGTCAGCCGTTGGGAGGCCACTTTTAACCCATGAAAAAGCAAGAGTTTCTTTAGGGTTTGAGACTAAATACTTTCACAGTATGCAGAAGGTTGAACCAAAACTAGCATTTTGTAATACAGTGAGATATTTCTGTGTATTATTGAAATTTTTTCCAAAAACAAAAAGGATAAACAACTCAACTTCCACAAAGTTGTCATTAATCAACGAAAACTGGTATATAAAATATTGAACAAGCTAATATGAAAAGTTAAGCCAATATGAACCTACCAATTCTAAAAATTTCTCATTGCCTGACAATGATTTTCCACCGTCGATTGAACCATAAACAACGGAGTTCTCTTGTTCTCTCTGCAGTATACCTAAAATATATGAAATACGACTATCAAAAAACTTTTTGATTACCTTATTAACACAAAGCATTTAACCCAAACTCATACGTTTATAAATTCAAGAACAAGAACTAAACTACAGTAATTCTATAGGGAAAGAGTTTGTGTTCGTATACGTTTAACTGCATAATGTGAGGTATTTTGTGATGTTCTCTAAGATTATATAGCCTTTCGCTAGTTCGTCACTTCAATATAAAATTTTCAAATCATTATCTGACAACAGAAACCAACTGATAAACTTCAGTGATGTCATGACACCGTAGAAAAAGTGTCCATTAAAAAGGCGTCGATGCAAAACAGAAATATCATATAATTCTAAAAAACATCGTGCTAAAAACCTTACCTGGTATGATTGACTGGGCAATCACTCGATACCCCCTGTAATCAATTATCACAGTCCCAAGGGTGTACAGACCCTACAACGAAACAACCGATATTAGGACCTTAACTAGTATCACAAATCAACCTTTCAATAATACACAAAGTTATATAAAAAAAGCTCCTAAAAAAATCCGTTACTAAAAAACCATTTTTGATCTATCTAATTTTAAAACACAAAGTGATCCTTTCTTCGAACAAATAACCCGCTTTCTTTACATAAACTAAATGTTCAGTTACAGAAAACGCTGCCTGCATGAATCACTGTGGTGATCATTCAAGGATTGCAGCCGTGAAACAACAATAGTAGTACCACGCGTAACAGACTCTAAAAAGGTTTTTTGTGGATCAATAACTAGACAACAAACTTGAACACAACAGTGCTGTCTGTGAAACTATTTTAGGCCCATTAAAACTGTCTACTTCGGTGGAGTCACAACAACTTCGAAAAAGCGTTGTTATGAATTTGAGAAGTAGGTTAGTTTTTGGCTAGTGAATGGATCAGCTGTTAAAATATTCAACAGCTTCTGGGAAATGGCACCAGCCAAAATCAAATTGTTTGTGAACGTTTGTTGTAAATTCAAAGTCTGTGCATCCACAAAAAAGTAAACTTTACAAGTTAAATTATTGAAAAGCTTGAGCACACCTGACGTTTAGTGACACTACTTAGGCGCCTTTCTCTAGCTAGGTCTAAACGTTTCTCTTGTGTCCAAAGGAAGCAAGTTAGTTTCAGACAGCGAGAAAATTGTTTTCAAGTGACTAGAATAAAAAGTTAAAAATATAACTTTTTTAAGCGAATCTGCATGTTTGAGTTTAATTACCTCGATGTCAAGTCGGTTGAATGCAACAACGCCACCAAGGTCACCACCCTGCGGAAAAGCAGATTTATCAATATATAAAAGGGCCAAGGATTTCTAATTTTTTCAACAACAGCAACGAGCAAAAGTATCAAATGGCTTGAATACGAGATCCGCACTTACCGCCGCGGCATAAGCAGCTGCATCCCCTGAAAGGCAAACAAAGGTTTTTTATACCGGGCCAACTTCACATAGATAAATAGTTCACAAAAGTTTCAGTCAATTAGTAATGATTCCAAAGAAAGTCCTAAGTAATGATTTTTATCAGGGTATATAAAGTGCATTCAAGGGGGGTGGGAGGGGGGGAAGAGGGGGCCAGACATCGAGCAAAAAAGCAAGCAATAGCAACAGGTACAAAATTGTTCAATTTTGGGGGAATAGGGAGTCACTACCCTTGCTCCCCCCAGTTGAGGCACCCTATCTTTTAATAACAGCTTAGAACTACTTACAGCTTAGAAGACTGAAAGAACCCAAAAATAGCTAAGGTTTATGATGTTTTTTACCTGAATTTAATTAATTTCACAGCAAAATGAAAATTAGGTTTCTCAGGAAAATGAATACCTCCAAATCGTCTGTAATGATCTCTAGAGTCGCATGCAAAGCTAAAGAATATGTTGTTCCATATGTACATTCGCAGCCTGTATCGTAATAAAATCAGAACTTAATAAATTAAAATATAATTCTTAACTCGTAATATGCTTTCAACTCAAATGACTCACGCATAACACAAATGAAGTTAACGTGCAGATAGGAAGAAATGGGAACCTTTCCTCGGCACGATCACGGGGTCTCTAATGACTGCGTTCCGGTAAAAGACATACAGAGAATTGACGTACAGTTCAAACAATAAATTCGCTAATTCCTTTTTTTCTGACCTTAGGCGTGCTTAAAGTTTAAGAAGAAAGCTAATTGTGGGATAGGGCAAGCAGTATTAATTAGAAAATCAATGTAAGAAGAACGCAGTTGTCAGTGACATTGAGGTTCAATGATTAAAGCAAAATTGATCATACTTCTCATCTTCACCAGGATTAATTGCCATAACATTTCCATCAACCACAGCAACCGCACCCTTAGTCGCAGCAGCTACAAAGTCACTTGTTATCTGCGTAGAATGGGTGGCAAAAAATCGATAAGGAAGCAAAATGTCTACAGGGCTTCCAGCAACTGGAAGAGAGGTTGAGGAAGCATGGTACCAAGGTTTTTTACATGATAATGAATATAGGTACAAACTATATTGGAAACATTTTCCTCGACCTACTAATAGAACGTGGGCTGAGGTTGATTCAACCTTGGAATATCAAATGTTAATCAATCAAAACTATACGCAAAATTGGTCTGCAACGATCAAGCCTTTTTTTCTAAAATCGATATAAAAATACTTGCATCCTCGGATAGCAGATTTGTGGATAGCAGACTTTTCTGCTTAAACATGGACACCTATCTGGTTTTGGTGTGATTAGGAATTTGCGCCCCAAGGAATTAGTCACTATCACTTTCAATTAAACTGTAATGAGAATAGAATGAAAAAAAAATTAAACCTCAAACAAGATTGATCGAATAATCACCTTGTAAAGGGCACGATCTCTTAAGATCCGCTGGTGCGTCGATTTTCTTGGCAGCTCTTTCGCAGATTGCAGCTCTTCATTCCAGTCTCTCAACTGAAAAAGATTATATGTTTGGTCCAAACGGCTTTGCTCTCGCACTAGAGAAATTCTAACATAGCTCCGTCTGGGTTAGAGTTTTCAACTAAGGGCTTTCTACCAAAGGATGGAAAAATGGAAGGATTTTTCACGGCATTGATAAAGTTAGTACACAGTATCGGTCTATCTACCCCAGTGTAAAAACAGTAGCCATTTTGCACATCAAAATGCTAAACTACAACTATAGAGTGCTCCTTACTACACAGGTTTTGACGTAGACTTATCACTTCACCGAAGACGTAATCAACCACTTGATTTTCCTGTTGAAAGGAGAATCGTGGAGTGATTCGAGTAAATGGAGGTATGGAAAAGGATCTAGTAACTGGGAACATCAAAAAAGTACAAGCTTGAATAGATGCGATTCTACTGCAAGAGCAAATCATGTAAGTTTGATTCACATACTTGACCAGGTATTTGCTCCTCGTATCCAATTCTCCCGGTAACAGCTAGGACAATAACGCATTCAGTAAAGTAATGCTCACACAAAAATCAAAATATAACAAGCATTTGGGAAATTCAATGCCCATCAATAAAAACGTTATCATCAAGTTGCATCTTAGTTTATGACTATCCAGAGGTGATTTTCAACCATCATTTCAACAGATGTAGAGAGATAGCACTGTGTCATGCCTTTAGAACTGTTGGGCGCATCAAGCGTAAAACTCTGGGCAGCAACTTTGAACCTTCCTTTTATATACAGCAAAATCATGTACAGCTTTGCCTACAGGGCACTGACCGGTAAACAGTAACTTTGATTTATAGATATATATACTTTGCATGTATACGACCGCTTGATTATCTTGATCAATCTAAAGGATTCTTTTAAAGAAAAGCGAACATTGCTTACGATTTGTTTAGAAAAGGTACATCTGTTATGATTTCTATCATATCTTTCAGCAACACTGCATTGTTATTTACAATAAATTGGGTCAAGAAATCGGATAGGAGGAAATCCAACAAGTTTTTGCGTAAATTTCACTGAAAGTCATGACTGGGGTTTTTAAATTAATAGAAAATTAGAAACACATACATGAATATGTCTTCCTACCTTCAGAAAATATCCCAAAAAAAACTACTTCGCTAGCAAGCTGTCAGAAAAGTGATAAACTACCCCTCTTTTCAGGTCTCCCCCAATCTTCCTACAATTTGTCTCCCCCACCTCTCGGTAGCCCCCCCTTGCTTTAGTTGTCATGTCGAGCATCATGTTTTCAGGACACAGCAAAATTTCTTTTCAATCGCAGATATTTCATCCTTTTTGAAGTTATAATCATTGCCAAAAGTGGCTAGCCTATTTGCTTCTAACTAGTGAATCAAAATAAGATACATATATTCGCTGTAAACTTGCCACTTATATAAAGCTTTGATTTGATATCTTATATTATAAGCTCTGATGTTATCTGTCTTCGCCATTCAGCCCCCCACCAATATCTAATCTTCTCTGAAAAGTTCTTCACCACTATAAACAATTAAAAACTTTTGCAACTTGCAGATAAATCGCAGCAAAACAAATGTGGTTAACCTGCCTTACGTAAATCGGTTTGGATTTAAATATGATAGGATAAAGATCATTGAAAACAGCTCTCACTTACCGTCCTCGGCTCTGAATGGATCGGAAACATGCTCGAATAGTGGGGAAATCCATGGGTAGACTGAAGAGAACGGAAGAAATACTGTCACTAAAACTCAATTGTTTAAATTTCCACCAGAACTTCTTGCTTATTCTAAACGAACTATTCTTAATCAAACTAGTTATGCATACAAAAGGTCTATCAAATTATCAAGAATCCTCTAAACCGTCCCCAGGAAAAATTATCACATTAAGTTTTTTATCCAACATATAACATATATAAAAGATGTGTTAATTATGTGCAAGAGTAATCAAATTTGTATCTAAAAACGCAAAGTGGAGAAAAACTGTAGAAATTAGGACCACTTTTGATCTGTTTTATAAGATCAGTTGGCTAATGACACGTATATATATTGCAGGCTGAAGCAGAAAGACGAGTCAAAAAGTCATCTCTATTACACCTGACTTAAAATACCAGAGGTTTTCATTCTATACCTTTTCAGTAAATATATACACGTAAGAAATACCGGCTGCGAAATGTAACCTGAAGTCTTACGTAACTATGACACAAAACACACAAGAACCCAAACAAGCAGCTAAAATACAACATAAACTGAGCTATACCTTGATACGGGCATGGTACAACCTCAAGTGGATGTTTCTTTACACTGTAGAGTTAAACATAATTTTTAATGATCCCAAATGGAAAACATAGTCTAAACAATAATTCAATGCTGTGTAAGAAGAACCAAAACTGATCATTGAATTAAGATGCATAACTTTAAATTCAAATTGCAGATAACCTTGCAAATATTACTGAATCTAAGACCATAAAAAATGTCTTTATAATATATATATAATGTATAATGTCTAAAATAAATGTAGTAAATCAAATTCTCTCAAAAACCATGGCGATAAAACAATATCAATAAAACGATAAAACACACAAAAACACCATATCTCTTGAAAAGCCTATCACATGAAGCTAAATAAGGTTACTTTGAGGAAAATAGCTTCAAGGTTGATATAGAAACTAGCACAAGAAACTAACAAATTTACATTTTTTAGAAGTTAAAACTGTTACACATTGTAACCTGTAGCAGCAATAATATCACCCAAAAATAAGACTGAAAAAATATAATATATATATATATTAAAATGTACATACCTCTGTCTTTGTAATGCTGAGAAATTCTTTTTAAATAACGGACTGACCTAAAAAAATATCATAGGATGGTGGTATAAAATCACATCCCAGCTGCCATCAATTTATGCTGATATATAAAATCCAGTTCATGTGTTGAAGCATAGACGGAGGGTGGGAGGGCGGAGGTTGTAAAAAAGGGCCATCCCAGTTTCATGCTTAATGTAATCATGAGGCATTTGTTAAAATTCTATTTCTACTCCTTGATATAAGATCAGAAACATGTGATTTTTGTGTAAAGAACAGCTTATATTGCAGCTCTGAGTTTTAACCCTTGTTTTAACCCAGACAGTGTTTTTCATTTATCAGAAATACTGAGCCTAGGGAGTAGCAATATTGTTTCTTTCTCTTATCAATGTAATTCCAGTTGATTATAGAAAGAATAAAGGAAATTAGCCCTTGCAAAAGATTCTTACTTGGGAAAGAAGGCCAACCAAGGTCTGAGCTCTGCATGGTTCATTGTGAGGCTTTGGATCAAATTCAACATCTGTTGTTCTGAAAGGTAATTTTTCAAGAGAGGAAATTAACAATTAACAAGTAAGAACAATATTATTTAATGGATTACGCAAATTTGTGCCACACAATTTAGTGAAGTGAGCTGGCCTTTTAAATAGTAAACATATACAATACCTGTTTATGTAAAACCCATTAGAAGAAGCTGTTATGCTATATTTATTTTCTTCCAGTGTCACAACATCCAGGTATAAAAGATCACCTAGAAACAAAACAAGCTACATTAAAATATATATTTCATTCTTTGAAGTTTTTTTTATAATTTCTAAAATATTTTACTATTTATAGGAAATGTGTATCCGCAGAGCATTGCCATCTTTAGATTCATAGGCCAATAAAATAAAACACTTCATGTTAACTGACCTTTTGACATAATTTCAACATGGAAGCTCCTAATAAAAACGCTTTCTTACCAGCCAACTTTCTGGGACCTGGAGGTGGGTTCCAGCTTGAGTAGCGTAAATCTTTTAAGCACTGTTGTGCCTAAAATGTGAAATTGTATTACTTTAGATTGAAAAAAATTCTTTTCAAAAGGAACAAAGGCTAAAGTATACAAGAAACAGTTTGAAAAAAAAACTTGAATACCAGCATGGAAGAATTACCTTGGGCTGATTGGATTCTGGAATCAATGGCTCTAATTCAGGGACGCTGCCAGTTTCTTCCAATACTGAACAACCAGGAGGAGTGCAATCCTCAGTTGGCAAATTTGAATCTTTGGATCCCTTTAGAATTTCATCTAAAGTGTTAAAGGCACTTTAATTAGAAAACTTCTACATTTTCCATAATCTTTTGCAAAACAGAAATTTCTTAAGGTGCCATATTTCAATTAACTTTGGTAAGAGCTATCTCCAATAAGAATAAATTAACATGTGATGGCATATTGAGCCTTGATACAAAGAGGAGGCAAAATAAAACCTTAATACTCATTTGATGAATTATAGTTAATGTTACACCTTCCAATTGGTGCTTGTTCTATTTGGCATTCAAGGAAGAAACAGAATGAATAGAACAATAGAGAGCAAAAATGAAGGGGCTATGGCAAGAAACAAGCCGATAAATCCCTTGATAACTTGTAAGGGCTGCATGGAGAGATGGCACAGAAACCCTAAATCAATCCATTACTTTGCTGAATCATGGCAACATAGCTTAAGCCAACCAGTCTCCTTGCCGCTTGATTTTTCATAAATATTTACAGTTCACTCCAATACATGATGTATCAAACTTAATAACATGCAATTAGATAAATTTTCACCACATTCACCTTCTGGGTCAACACCAGCAATGGTAGTGCACAGAGACAATGAGAGGTTATCAGTTGCAGAAAATGAGCTTTGATACAGTGACGTGCTTAGAAGATCTCTTAGACGTCTGATGTGAATTCTTGCTTCCCTGACACTGTATGGTTCTAAAAATAGAATTATCATTGTGTTACTGCAATGGCAGTTTAATCCAAATTATTAAGAGATATATACATATTTGCTTTTTAATTTTAGCCCAGAGGCATGTTACAAAAACAAAGAGCTTCAAAAAGTAATACCCTTATTTGTCAAAATTCCTGTCAATTAGGCAAAATAACTTTCGCAGATACCACAATCTATCAATTCTTGTTTCTACACTGTTCCAAAATTTCTACTGCATGAAACATTATATCTAAGTATCTCTGTTCTATGGTATTATGCTACACTCAAAATGCATACCATCTACAACTTTCACAACAGCATCTTCTTTCATGTCTTCAACTGTGTGTAGCTCAACAAAATCATCCAAGCGGTTTCCGTTGAGTTGCAAACTGAAACAGGTCCTGAAGCAGCTCTCTGGTCTGTCCAGAACTACCTGCCTGATCTCTTGCACAGTATCATGATTTGATATCTGAAGAAAGGAACAGCATATAATTAAAAATGATCAGTTAGATTGCCTTTCATTGTTTTAATGTTCCATCTACTTTTCAGTAGGATACTAACTTCATTTAAACACTATATCATGTTTGTCACCTGACAGATCTATCACAAAATTTCATTTCAAGATTTTTGATGATGCAGGGGAAATATTGTTGCAAATAATTAATGGTATATTTGGTTTAATGTAAAACTCTTAACCTGTTGTAAAATCAATGACAATACTACTTCTGACCTTTAATCAAACAAACCTGCAATGTAGAAGGTTCACCAGCTCCTGGAATCATCAACTTGATAGTGAAAATCTTCAGTGGAATGTCTGTAATAAAAAAAGTTTTTTATCAATTATTTTCTACAGAACAAAAAGAATCTCTTCAAGATGCTGGCTATCTTGAGTCTTCCACCAAGGTGAGAGAATATAGATATAAATGACTGACAGAAACAAATGCAATGCTGTTGGAAGGGTGGGGAGATCAAAAACAGTGCTCTGTTAACTCCATTATAAAGTCTTGAAGAGGAAAAAACATTGCTCTACTCCCTTTCCTTTGATGTTTCTTTTATCTGATGGGCTTCGAACATCAATAGAATATTGCTAAAAATGCAAAATAGTTATTCTACAATGGCTGGGTATTCAAACAAACTGAAACAAACCTTCAGGATTTTCAGCATTAGTTTTCGCTTCTTCTGATTCTGTTTTTACTTCTCCATTTGAAGTCTCTAAATTTTCTTCCTGTTCCAGGGAATCTTCATGTCCATTCTCACCATTCTTTATTTCTATCCCATTTTCAGGTGTCTCTCCACTCATTTTTTGGTTCTCATCAGAATTTAAAACAACTTTTGAATCTTTTTTCACCTGGATACTGTTTGCATCATCAGAATCAAGAATACAGGGCATTTTCAAACACAACTAGAAACCTGCAATGACAAAAAATCAATAAATGTATGGATAGCTAATTGCAACATCACAAATGGTTAAGATTATATCTTGTTGAAGGTTATATAGAATAGAATAACTTTATCAAAAGTTTTGCATGCAGGGCCTTTTCACTAAACTCCAAGCTACAAGTGGTTATTAATTTATCACTTCTATAAAAAATACTCAAATCTGACCCAAATGCAAGAGCTTCAATCATCCTGTTTTCAATGATCTCATCCTGATATATATTCATTAACACTGAAATCGTCACTAGCAAATTCTAAGCTTTATATATTAATTGACCATTTCTGAAAATTTGGGGCAAAAAACAAAAAGTGTCAAACTAAAACTTTACTCCTTTCAACAACTCTTCTAACTTCATTATTAGAAGGCTAGCAAAAAGCAAAACAACCCATTGCTCAGAGAACCTATGCAATCATGTATAACAAAAACACCTTTAGTGCAACTTTCAGTAAACTCAATACCAAAAAGGAAACAGCATAGCTGTATACATTATCTATGGGTGCTGGAAGGCATCAAAATGAGAGGGCATACTTAAACAAAGCATGTCAAGTGCATTTATTCCTATAGAACAATAAGAAAATGTCTTGTTATCAAAATACTGTTTACTTGTAACAATTACAACTATCTAAAGTAACCATCTGGTCTGCATATGGCACCTACTTTGAGCAGAATAATGCATCAAGAGCCACAGCTGCTACTCATAGTTAGACTTAATGCACTCACAGTGCAGTTTCTCTTCAAACAATAACTATTTGCCTTATCTCTGAACAATAAACAGAACGGCTTCTTTAATGCTTCTTTTTTAAGGCCAACCAAACAAAAGATTTGATGCAGTTCAATGACTCCAATGAAATGATTAGCAAGATGATCAGTAATAGATAAAGGTGATCAGCTCTTAGGATAATTATTTTTGACAATTGCAACTAAGCACAGTATCAGAACATCAATTTTGCTAATTTCATAACTGAATAGATTAATAAGAAGTAACAAAAACATATCCAGAAAACATTTTCAGGTCATTGGGCAAACTTCACTGCATGGTGAGGAGTTCACCCTAAATATAGAGTGGCCAAATGATAAGGACACCATAATCTATTTTATAGAATTGTGAATCATGACAACACCGAAAGAATATAACAGAGCAGTCTTACATTATGTCCAAAACATCAAGCTCATGAACACTGGATCTTTCCTTAACACATATTTTAATTCTTATTATATTTGTAAAATTTACATACTAGTGTATCTTGTAAAAAGTTCCAATATCTGAATATGATTTGCTGTCAATCTGACATCCTGATAAAACAGGAAGAGACTGATTATGTGAGGGAGCCTAGACACATAAACAAGCCTGGTACAGGCAGGGCTAATGGAAACAGGGAAGGGGGTTTGGAGAGTTAAACCTCTATGATAAAATCCCAAAATATTGTCTTAAATATAGACTCAAATTCTTCTCGCCCCAACCCTATAAAAGTTCATTATGTTGATAGATGTGGCATAATTTCGTAGATAAGGCATAATTCTTTGATAATGTTGCCCTGTCACATGGGGCCTTCTGGTATGTAGCGTGCGTGATATGGCAACCAGGCCTCCAATGTCCACGTGGGCCTTGCAAAATTTTCGATCATTAATTCTGAGATAACTTTATGTTACATAATTTGCTATTTTTTCCCTTCTCCGAAAAAAGTGCAAACACATGTAGAAAGCTCATTAAAACCAGTACATTATTTTCTTTCAGGGAAATTGCTCTCAAAACCAGAGGTAAGACGGCAAGGTTCTAAACGAACAAGACAAAGGCCTCTTTTAAAACATTTGGGATTTAAAATATAGCATACGGTAAGGATGCAACTAATATGGAAAAAGAAACGCCTAGGCCCGGAAGATGTTACTATACTTTGCAAAAATCATTGCATAACTGGCCTACACGGTTTGGAGTGCAAAGTTCAAAAACGTCCCAAAACAAGACATGTGGTGCATGACCGAGTTGAAAATGACGCAATACGAGCAACTCATCATATTTTTTGGTTGAACGACGGTAAACTTGTAATTATTTTTTGCTTTGGTTTATAATAATTATAATTTTAATCAAGCAAATGAAATCATCTTTTTACAAATCATGGCACGCCTCAATCTGAGAGAGGGCCTTACATAATTATATTCAACCAGAGAAACTCCGATGTTCCATTTTATAACTAGAATTATTTGTTACAAGCGACAAAGTTAACTCGAAATATGAATTTGGTTGGAATACATTGGCGTTTGGATGGAAGATTCGAAGGTTACATACCTTACTAAGTCTAAAACCACGCTCACGCCACATACATTACACCAGAGGCCTTTATAGAACTAAATACTGAGCTTAATCGATGCTCAATCTTCACAGGTGACAGACTGTAATAAAAATTCACTTGGACGATCTTTCTTCACTCTACGTGTCAGAATATTGAATTGCAATCGCTCAGCCCAAAATGTTTGTAGGTTCTCCACATTTATCAAGTAGCAGGGTCAGTGTTCAGCTCAGCTTCTCACGTGTGCGCTGCAGTGACTGGAAACCATACCTGCTACGCACTCAACTCGCCTTTCCATTGGCTAGAAGCTTTGAAGTATGGTTATTGGGTAGGTTATGGTGTGTGTGTCACTCCTCCACAGTGTCCATGAAATTATCTAGATTTTTGCTTCCACCTTGACCGACCAGACTTCTCCATGGCAATACGGCGAATCAACAGGGCGCTTATTTAACTTATATTTTTGGGGCAAGTGCTTTCCACAGAAATGCGACCAAGAAATTCCCAGCTTCTTTTTCTAAGTAGCGATACTTAATCGAAGAAATTGAATACAAGCGGAACAAATTTCGTGACATGATTCTTGACCTATGTAATAAGGTCGGCAAGAAATGGAAACAAGGTTGGTTATCGGACATAAGTTGAAACATAGAGACAACTGTCAAATATACCATCCGTAACCCTTACGTCATTCATATGGCCAAAGCACATGACCTTCACAATTAGGCTGCCAACTCATCTACCAAGGATAATACTATTCGGTCAATCCCTATTATTCAGCAGTACACACTTTTTATATAAGCACCAGATAACTTTTGCCAAGGCTAAATAGTCTCAAATTCTTAACGTTGTTCATATTTCAACATTTATTTTTCTATAATTACATACTATAGTGTTGTTTTGTCATATGTGATAAAGTAATACCTATTTTGTTAACATGAAAGAAACTTTCAAAGAAAACATTGTTTTTTCTAATGATGCATCTGAGCCTTTGCATCGGTGTTCATTGAAGCTGAACCTCGGTGTTCTTATTAAGTGTGCTCTTATAAGAAGTAGTGTACACTTAACTAAACCTTTACGTCATTGCATCACTTTAAACACAATGCACAAAAAACCTTACAAAAGGCAGAACCATTCCATTCTTAGTTCCAATTCTATATCTTTGTGCATAAGAAAAAATGTAAAGCATAAACTGCCAGTAAGCTAAAAAAAGCACTTTTTAGGAGAAGAATATTTTCCGGCCAAAACCTCAGAAATTATTTCAGCTAGTAAAATTCAGGTCTCCATCAAAAATGCTTGTCGTGTTTTTTTCATGTAAAAGCATTTACATAAGAGCGATTCTATCGAACATAAAAAAGAAGACGTGTTTTTTCTGTGCATAATTAGTTTCATCCATCTATCAAAGACAAGTTATTTTAAATGCATACATTTGGACTTGGTAACAAAAATTTGTTACTGTCATTCGAAGGTGTCCCCTCACATTTTGATAATCAAATACATCAATTTTTGGTAATGAAATTTCCTCTAGAACTTTCAGCAAGGTTCATCCAATTTCTTCGGCAGGCGAATCATACAAATTGTTCAGAATTGACCCTAGTTCTTAGTTGATTCTCTCGTGTAAATATTTCAAAAACACATGGAGGTAAGCATTGAATCAAGAGAGTATGAGGTATTGGGTCGGTATGATTGGTCAGAGATTTTAAGGACCAAGTGTGAGGCACAAATTCTAAAAATTTCCTTCAAATAATTTCCACGAATTTCAAAAGAAATTCACGTGATATGCCGATGTTAAAGGGGTAACACGAGTCAAAGGAAGGGTAGTTCTTAACCAACGACCCCCAACCTACAACTCTGACATTAGCAATTTCTTAAATCTTTATAAACCCCCGATCTTTTATAGAAGAGTTTTATTGATTTACGTTTAGGAAGACTGTAGTTATGTTTTCCGAACCACTCCAGAACTGCAATCACTACATCTAGGATTTTTATTTCAAGGCAAGAGAATGCATTGATGAATCTTCATAATAGATCTTTCTTTTGTACTGAATTCATTTCAATATTCATAATAAATTTGACTTGGCTTTTTTGAAAATCAAATGTTATCCTTAATTCCGTCCTTTTACGAAATGCCATACTATAACTGTTATTCTACACTAAGCCCAATCCCCAGTATTAAAGATACTTTTTACATCTACATACATAAAATATACAAGAAATATAAGTGAAATACATTGATATGAAGATTCGAAGAACTTCAGTTCTGGTGATCTGAAGCAACTTTTCCTGGCTGTTCATGCAGTGGGGGCAGGGGGCTGTTCCTCACGATTGCCCTGAAAGAAGAAACTTCGTAACTGAAAGTAGCAGAAACAACCTCTTTATAAAGACAAAATATAAGAAAACTGTATGGTCAAATTTTTGACGTTATCAAACCATGTTATTTGAACAATGAGCTATAAGCCGAAAATATGTTTGACAAAAAAGTTCAAATCAGTGTTTACCTCCCCGACTTAACAAAATATACAGCAATGATACCTTGTTGCATAAATTAGCAACGTCAAGTTTTAAGGAATTCAAAGCTGCATTAATTAGCTTATATACAACGAGCAAGCAGAGAAAAACAAAGCTGTTACCCCGCTCTCTACAACAGCGCATAGCGTCTACAACATCTATAGAAAGGTTCTCTAATGCTAGCTTATTGGACAATTGGCCTTATCGAAAATAAATTGGATATTACTTCTATCCATTGCCGGTTTTTTGTACCTTATGATCTAAAGCTAGGTCTATCCCGCTTAATCTCAAAATACTTTGAGACCCTAAAGGCGTCTTTTTCGTGGCAGCTTCTGCATCACGAATCGACAGACGAAAGTGCAAAGAAATCTAATCCATTCTGTATTGTTTTCTTGCTTTGCAACTCAGGAAGTAGGAAGCAGATCACCTATTGATTGGAGGGCTAATAAAGTGTTTAGCTAGGGCATTCGTCTCCCAGTTCTTCTAAAAGCCTCGACACCCTCCAGCTTCCCTACTTAATAATTGAGATTATCCCAATAAAGCAATTTAGGCCTATTGTCATAATTTGCAGACTACAAGCTTGCGGGTTTACCGCTAAAAAATAGTTTCTATGGCTATAGATACTGAAAATCGCGTTGCGCAATAGCCAAGTTTAAATCAGATTATTGTTTTTACATTTCATTTCATTTCATAAAAATTTTATTAGGCATCACAGGTCATCCCCATCAATTAAACATTGGCTAACTTGTGTAATTCTTTAAAATAAATTGATATCGAAGAGTGTCTTGGTGATAAAATCAAAGCCAGAAAATCTCTTGGACTTCGATAAGGTTTTTTAATCAGTTGCAAAATTGATTTCCTTGAATCTGTTCAGTAATTTGCTGCATATAGAATTTTACTTTGTCAACAATACGCCAGACTTTAAACAGACGTTTCACGTATGTTTAAAAAACCTTGCTTTATCAAGCTAGAGGTTACAGATATTTTTTGCTCTGATGAAGCCCTGTATGCCGGGGCCAAATATTAGCCATTACTGATTTTTGTGTGTCTGTTGTTGTTCATTCTTGTCGCGTTGCTGTGTTACGTTTTTACTATGTTACAGATATTACAGGTACGAATTATGTTGCTAGGGAACAAGAAAACCAGGAAACCAATGATAAAGCAATCTACATAAACCATTCTGAGTATACAGCCATCATGAAATAAGAATTACCAAAAAGATGACAAAGATTTATGTCCATGTACGTGAATAAAATGATTTAGAAGGATAAAAGCACATTAAGCTGACACATAAAGGATTTCTTTTAACTTAGGAAGCTTCCAAAGCACATAAATGTGAAATTAAGGTTATCTTCAAGATTATAATTCTAGTCTATTGCCTATTAATTTTAGAACTTTTGTAATGGTATGCTATGCTGTCCAATGGCCAAATTATGTTGTTCTTGGGCCTTGTTTTTGTAAATATGTACTGGCTGGCATTTTTTGTAATCTGGTCATACATGTCAGGCTATTCTTTTGTGGGAAAGTTTTAGACTAAGCTTCTGTAATTGTCAAGAACAGCTTCTGTAATTTTCAAGAATACAATATTTCTCAACTGGTGGGAGAGAGCCTCTGGGATACTTTCTAATAAACATAGCCTGGTGTTGTTTGCTTAGTCTGTGAGTACTTTTGTGTTTATAAAAATACAATATGGAAAAAATGAAAACAATAACAAAAAGCAATACACTTACATTGTTAGGATTTGGTTTCTCTGATCCTCCTCTCATACTGGCAGGCCTAAAGAAAAAGTAAAGGGGTCGAATCATATGCAGAAGTTAATTTGTTTTTGTGGATGCTACTAAGACTTCAATTGGGAAATCGACTTTATTTAATCAGCTGAAAAGCTGTCTGTGTCAAGAATCAAAGGAGAAAGAAGACGAGCTTCAAGCTATCATCACACATTTTAAATGATTAAGTAAATCTCAACAAATTCATGTTCAAGTTTGTGCATTGAGATGTACTGAATCAAAAAGAAATAACAAAGGATGCCAGAAGTTCAGAATGAAATAATATGGCACCTTTTGAGCAAATTTAGCTCAACAGTAAGGGAAGATACAAAAGATCAAATTAATACTTGCACAATAGATAACTCATAATACCTTTAAAAACCCTATTTAGCCTTCTTAACTTCTTAAAAATGGGAACATATGAATCTTTAGACTCGTTTGTGGATTTGAGGTTTTGTCTAGAGAATATCATCCCTTTTTATTTTTCTTCAATACCTGCTGAAAATTGCCCTGTATTTCATATTATATTCCATATGCCCTTTAAACTGTATTTTTATATAAAGTATCATATTATGCAAAGATATCATATCATACATATTGTATCGTTCTATACCATACATACCTTAGAAGATAAAGGAGTACAGCTGCAATGACCCAGGCCACCATTACAAACATCATCATATTCCCACCATCATTAGATGCTTGCAAATTTGGTGCTGCAAAGGTCATTAAAAACATATGATATAATATAATTTTTTGAAAAATTCTTCTTCCTCCTTCAAGGTGCTTTAAGTCTGGAGAATGTTCTGTTGTATTCAAGTTACTGGCTTGCTTGGTTAGCTTTAAAACACAGAAAAAGGAAAGGCACACAAAAACTTGGTCTCATTCTGTACAATATTTTTTCAATGAATTTGACAGAAACATACATATATTTATTTTGTTTCACTTGATTTACTTCCCATTTCTCCTCCTCTCTTAAATGTATGAAACTCCATAAATGTGGACACAAGTTTCAATAATTATTAGTTATTCAAAGGTATTTGTCTCTTCCTTGAATGATCCCGATAGAGAAAGATCAAAATTACTTACAGAAATTAAAAACTAGAAAATATAAGCTCACCATCTGTAAAACATTGCTCTTCAGTGCAATAGCTTTGCGAACCTCTCAGCTAAACAAGAATAGACAAGATATAAAATTTTTAAAGCAATATTAAACACATTGTTTGACAACTGATATGATGAGATTTGCCACTTATGAAACGCATCAAGCTTACTGATACGGTATTTTCTAAATAAGATAACCTAAAACAAAATTTTAAGCATGATGCAAACAATTTGAACCTCAGAAAATTATCTAGGCTACAAAAATTTCTGAGGTTCAAATTGTTTAGCGTTAACAAGCTAATTCTATTACAAAATTCAAAGGATGTAACATGAATGTAAAATTGTACCCCGATGAATATAGGAAAGGCTCATACTCGAGCTAACGAGAAATTCCAGTTGAAATTTAAAACGTTACACGAGATACACAGGATTAATTTGGATATTTATGTGTAAGATAATTTTTTTCTGGTAGGTATACACTTTCAAATAAAACGCGAGAAATTTATGTTTACAACCAAAAATCAACTAAAAAATCTGGGGTAAGGAAGTCAATCAAATTTCCAAAATCATTTGTTTCCAGCCATCCTTCCAATTTTTTTTCTCCATTCGATACGTAAACAGACGCTAGGCCAAGCTGCCCAGCCACGAAGCCACACTGTTGGAAACATCGAAGTATAAACTCGATAAGTAAGAAGTAATTAAAAAGTTACCAGTGAGATCAGCCTTCGCATCGCTCCTTCATGACTAAAAATACATTCGCAAGGATCAAATGGAGGTGCTCCACCTCCCCCATCCATATTTGATAATTGTTACTATCGGCAGTGAAGCAACGAAATCGCCTTTCAATATTGGGCTGGAGGGTAAGTGTTGGAAGTTCTTCGTTTCCGTTTGACTTTCTAGACTGCAAATGTTTTGATTCGATGAAGATGATGCCAGAAACCTGGTTTACAGAAATCAACTGCCTGAGAGCCACGTCTGGTTACAAAATTTACCCAATCATGCGAAGTTTTCCCACACAGCACAACTGCATAAACAAGACCAGAATGGTAATTCAATGTTATTGAATCCAGGCCTCTTTCTTCCGCCGTAACCACATGGAACCAAGGTTGGTCTTGAACAATCAACCACGTGTGTGCTACCACCCTTTCTTTGAGTTGAGAAGCCAGAAAATTCAACATCGACCCTCGTAGCAGCTTTGCCCACCTCAGGGCCGCCGCTGGGGGGAGGGGGCTCCGGGCCCCTGCTTTCACTACGCCACAACATGGGCCCTGCTTTCAATCCTGAAACGCCCTTGTTCCTAAATTTAAGGCAATCATGGACTTTGCACGGCGCTTTGTAGCGTGTTTCGTTTTTAAATCCTTCCCACGTCACGAACCTTCGGCCTGGGCTTGTTTTTATACAAAAACGATATTACAAATTTAAACAAAATCAGAAAAAAATTAGCTACTTGGCAATTGAAAGTGTGTCAAGTTCTTAACCCTCTTCGCCGATATATTTCATTCAAACTATTACAGTAGTGAAGTGTCCCGCATATAAGAAATACAATTTTAAGAAACACAGATCCTGATTTTCAAAAGAAATAGCCCCTTTGATAAGAAACTGGTGAAGGTCTGAAAAAATGCTTGTTCTTATTCAAAAATTTTCATATAACGTAATCCTTTGAAAAACAGAGCAAAACATTAATCATTCTACACTTACTATTTTCTCAGTTAATCAAAAAACGCCCCTTTTTCGATCTATGTTCTGACGTTCTAAGCTCTGAAGGGTGTCAGACGAAAAGTTTTACTTTACTCAAATGTTTGCTTTTTCAAAGCCATATTCAAACTTCTTATATATAAATGTTTGATTTGACCCATCTTCAGAAACTCTTAAAACTTCTATATTTTATTTCAGGTATTTTTTTCATGAAAATTGCAATTAATTTATCTTCCAAATTGAGAGATATTTCATTATTTAACCATATTCTTACTGTTTTTGTGGTCAAATTGAAAATTTCTTAAAAATATATTTATTAACTTCATCAATTTGTTTCGCTATTATTGCCCTGGACAGGCAATAGGTTTCAAATAAGTTGATATCAATCACCATTGATTATATATATATGTCTAGAGACAGTTCTGTCTTCAGCTTTGTCAAAATTCTGTCAAACTGTTTCGACAAGAAAAGGAGCTTCTGTATAAATGATGGATGAATTTTCCAACATTGCAAGCTAAAATGAGCATGAAATTATACCAAAAAATTTTTCGAAGCCCTTCATGATTCGAGTGCTCCAATGCTTTAATGTAAAATCCAGAAATTTCATGTAAACGGTGCTTTATACCTTCCAGAATCCTGGATTTAAATTTCAAGCTGATAGGCAGAAACATCATGGGCCCTTTAAATTGGTATTTTCGAGGGGAAAGGCTTTTTAGCGAATATTTGTCTATTTGCCAAATAATGACAATTGGCATTGAGTTGTGAAAAGGTAGGACCCCCACTGACTTTATTAGTAATCAATACTTTCGAAACCAAGTATTACGGTAAACAATTTGTAAAATGAGTCATGACGAAGCTGAAAGGTATCTTAATACCAAGAAATGTAATGACAGTTGCTGCGGTTGTCCGCCATGGTCAATAGTCAATGGATCTTAAACACGTGATTCTAAATGAAAACAAACCACAAGTAGTACCAGCAGAAATAATAAGACGCACATTAGTATACCACTGTATGAACTGGTGGCTGGTATGTCAAAACTACGCTGTCAAGATCAAAGTTGGAGGTGGTAACAACATTGATAACAGAAGACGCTGATTCATGAAAAGATCTGAATGATAAGGCTTTCTGGGGGAGAGAAGGCTCAAGTCTGGTTATGAATACATGTTTAGCTCAACAAGTCTGAGAATCCAAAAAGTCATTACAAGAGGGAAAAGGAGGAGAGAAAGACTCCAGTGATTTGCATAAAAATATCCCATGTTTAAAGAATGTACATCCCAATCGTTAATCATCTATATAGTTTCTCGGGTCACTGTCGAGCAGAAAGGACCTTGTTAAGAAATCGTCAATATAAAATCACTTGTTTTAGGCTAAAAGAAGCTCAACATAAAAGCTATGCTGTTTTTACTAAGCACCTTTAATTGTAAGAAAATTACGTTGGCTGCGGCCAATTGGATGCTACTGTTAATTTTTGGGCAGAGTAGAGGCTCCGGGCGAGTGAAATTGTTCTAGTGTAGAACTCAGAAGTAATTTTTATCAAGCAGCAAAAATAGCTCATGCTTTGATGTTTAGCTGTCTGAAAACGGGTGATTTGGTTTTAAAAGCTTGACTGGAATTTGAACAAACTTCGATTGAAAGAAGTGTCTGGTATGAGAATGACGTCATGAAGTAATTTAATTTTGAATATATGTTGGTAGCCATAAGACCATTTTTCGAACGCCTAGCTACCATTTACTATAAAAATGAAAATGATTTTGATTGCATGACTCTGCACACTCTCCTTTGGTATGGAGTTTTTCTTTTAAAAAACACTCCTTTCATTGAGTTTGAAATTTGAAGAAATAAAGGCATAAAAACTACACGAAATTATTTTGCTGATTCTTGGCTATCTTGCTGATGTGTGCTTGTCGAAGTAAGCCGATCTCCACAAAGAGATGGTGAATCATCTCTATGGTGAATCATACCATTTTGGCAAAGCTAGACGAAAAGATGCCCCCGTCTTAGTAATAACAAATATGCAATTCACAACTTCAGACTATTTGAGTCACAGAAATAGCAGCTTACAGCAATGGGTGATAACATCTAGATGAATTATTCAGAAAGCCAAGCGAGTATTGAGTCAATAAAACTGGGAATAACAGAAACTGATATGCTAGAAAGTTAGCGATTCTCGAGAAAAGCTAGTCGTCCTCTTTTTATAAGCAGCAAGCCAGTGGTGGAATTTGCTTTAACAGGTGTTTGTAAGCGTCTTGTGTTGTGCTTTTAACGACAAAAAAGTGAGATGTAATATTTCTCAAAACACGTAGCTCTTTTAGCTGGCATATGTTGAAGATTTTCGCATCATTTGCATGGAGGCGAGAAAGATAAACAGCTTGTTTTGCAAGGAGCAACAGAAGTTTGACTGACAAAACTGTGCAACTGATGTGGTAAGTTTGTTGCTGTGCACAACGTTATAAGCTGAACGCGTAAATAAAGACTTGTTCTTTTTGCTTTGCTGTAACATTGCTGATAATATGCTGATTGGAGCTATGCGTGTCTTTGCAGCTATTGTACATATCTTGTTTATCTTTACTTTTTGCTTATCTTTATGCTCTTATCAACAGAAGGAGCCATTTTAAAGACAGGTTTTGAGTTTCAAGTGAGAATCCAGAGAGTCTCGAAAGCCTATATGCCAAAATGAGCATTACTGAAAAAATCCCTGATGTTTTGGCTTCATGTTTGCATACTTCTAATTGCATATTACATAATGCCAAAGCCTAAACAAAAATACTTTATTCTAAGCCTAAAATCAAATGTGTTATTCAGATTATCCCTTAGTCTGTTAAGATTTATTCGATCTTATTAATCAATTTGCTTGTGACTAGTTCCTTTATTTCTTTAAGAGTAGATTATCAGAGCTGATACTTTAAAAGTTAGAAAGTTCTAAAAAGAAATTTCTAGGAAAACGAACATAATGCATGTTATGAAGTTCTATAGAAAACTCTGAATCTGATACAAAACTAAAGCTCGAAAGAAAAGCAATCAATTGATATCAATGACAATGTTCCGACATTAAGCAGAGTGTCTTATGGATTTTTGAGTGGTGAGGAAAATAGCCTCAATGCCATAGAATAGTGGGAAATCAAAGGGGGAGTTATTTGCACGAAGAAGAATAAGATTAAAATCTTGTATATTCTTAAAGTCACATTATTCTGTCACGTCACGTCATTTGAAATTTGAGTTAAAATGTTTATTGAATACTACTGTTGTCTGAAGTTCAGATACCATACTGTCTTGCCTTAACATATACATTTCCCAAAAAATTCGATAAGCACAACACAATTGATTCAGCTAAAGTAAAGCACCCATCAAATACTATCTGAAGAAAGTTGATCAAGCAAGGCCTTCTTTTTGGTAACTTGTTCCAATATTGTAGCAGAAAATATTTCGTAGAACAACATTACTGGTGTCGCCTATGGACTTGAAAGATAGTTGAAAACAAACATTGATAAGAAATGAGCAAGCATTCTGCAATACCTGTCTAGAATAATCTACCTGAATTGAATTGAATTAGCAAGTGAATGCAACCTGGGGTGTATACTTCTTTTTTCCAAACGCAATAAATGGAATTTCAAACACCCACTGCAAAAATCTAATTTAGCTTGAAACTTGAGTTTAATACTTTGAATTTTTCTAAATAATGTTAGAATTTCAATGAATATAAACATTTTCAAGTAAATTAACAAACTGGAATAAACTTTTGATTTCAATCTAAATTTCATAGCTACCATCGAAAAGACTTTGAAACTGATTTGAAGATGAGTAAAAGAAATTACACAAAGTTTATCAAGGCATTGTAACATGAAGATTAGAAAGCTGCTGTTTGCAGCAGGCCTCTTCTGGTTTGCTGTCACGAATGTTTGTCACCCAATATCTGAACGAAGGATCCATAATAGCAATGAAGAAGGGCTTAGCCCTGATGCCTCTAGTTTAAATGATCACCAAATCCTGATTAAGCCATCAATGCTTCTGGTCAATGCATCAACCTCGAAGCAGCATACCAAAACATTGCCGAATTACCCGGTGAGATTTAATGGCATGGCTACAAAGAACCAGCCTTGGAGTAATGAAAAAGTAGTTATGAAGGATGCTTTGCAGCCGTTAAACAAGCCATTGGGGTATGTGATGTATGATCCCCTTCCTTCATTTGAAAAGTCAATGAAACCAAGCTACCAAAAAAGAAAAGAATGGAACTACAAGATTTTTATTGAGTTGCAACACACATCCAAGCATATCCGGAAGAAGTTAGACATATTAGAAACAGCTTTGCGGGACATTGCAGATTTCTTTGGAGACAGTGCAATTACGCTAGTTTTTCCTATTTGGCACAAGCTTGAAGGTGACACTTTGAAGTTAGTCTGGAGTAATATTACTATGGGTTATCCATTATGCTCCGAAAAACTAATGCATTACATGTCCACCAATATATTTGACATCGATGCCTCGCCGACAGCTGATTTCAAGCGGGCTTTTGAGCCTGAACTTCGTCTCGTAAGTGCACACGAGGAACGGAGGGGATTTTGTTCTGATTACAGTTTGAACAATACCTATGCCAGGCTTATAGAAAACATTATTCTACCACAGCATTCAACTCCTACAAAAGCAAATAGGCCTAGATTTCGAAGAAATGCTGCAGTGGGAAACCCGCCAATAGTTAACCAGTCACTGCCGAGTTTCAATGCAAGCTATTGCTCCTTATTTGTTTACGCAATACCAGAAAAGGTCTTCCTAGACAAAGAAGAGGGTAACACACGTAATCTGACATTGACAATTTTGCATATGAACGGCACGTCGGTCAGCCTCAACTCGTGGCTACAGCTGGATGGTAGCTTGCAAACACTGTATGGATATTTGAAAGTAAGTGACAGTGTCTTTGCGGATTCTGAAAAGTTTTTTCATTACAAAGTTCGCGCAACAGATTCAACGGGTTTGTCGGCAGATGCCCCTTTTAGCATAAAAATACCCCATTCACCTCCGACCGTCTTCTTCAAAGTAGTGCTAACAGTGAACTCATTCGAAGAACAAGGCAAGCCATATGTAAACGAAGTCATTTTTCTTGCCTACAAAGTCATTCGGTTTTTCAATGATAACTATTTCACGACTGTAAATGTACTAGACTTTAATAGAAACCATACAAGCAGTCATGCAGAAGAGACAGTGACATTTGGATGGACAAACTGCACTATAAGTGGGCCTGGTTGTCCATCTGGCGTTATTGAATCGCTGACACGAAAGCTCATTACTGATGACGGGAAGCCAAACCCAAGCTTCACTGAAAAACTCAAGCCACAATACAGTTTATACGATCTCAAAATCGAGAAAGTTGGCGCTTGTCTAGCTCCCTTGTCCTCAGTTATTTCACTTGCCACTCCAACACCTGTGCATTCGTTGTCACCAATAATAAGCAACGCGATTCCTGAAATCGTTGTCTATACAACACAACCTCTCAATTATCAAATTCCAACTAACACTTTCTATGACGTCCTAGATGGGTCCACGAGAAATCTGCGCCTGCAGCTACGAACGGCAGCAAACATTTCTTTATCCGCAAGTTCTTGGATACAGTTTCATGTTAATACCCAGATAATTTTTGGCATTCTGACAACTAATGTGTTCACAAGTGCCAATCCAATGTCTTTTACCTACCTTCTCATAGCCACTAATTCACGAGGATATAGCACATATCTTACTATAAGTTTGAAGGGATATAGAGAAACCATCTCTTTTGGTGCACTTTTCTCCATTAGTGGAAGAGACAACAGCCAATCAACTGTAAATGACATAACTATTTTGGATACTACATTGAACAAATTACGTGGCTATGTCAAAGACAAAAAGAACGATACAATCGAAGTTAAAAGCTTCACCAGACTTTCGACAGGGCAGCAGAAGATTTTCTCGTTTGTTTACACAAACACGTCAATAACCACAAGTAACTGTGTTGGCCTTCAACGTATCATTCCGTTGCTTCAAACTGAAGGTAGCTTGATCAATCAGGATCTCACTGCTGCCCTTGTTCCAGAGATCGTTGCTGATAGAATTGATATTGTCAGGTATGGTAGCTGTTCCAACTTGCAAAGCCGGTCAATAGGCCCTTCTCCGACACCAGGAGGCTTGTTTCCAGTCACTATTAATCAAGTACCACTCATTAACATCAAAACAGGACTGTATTTCTCATTCAGAATTCCTGTACAGACGTTTTATGATGCGAGTGATGGCGATACAACAAAACTCAGACTGCAAGTTACTTTTTCTAACGGTAATGCTTTGATTCATGGCTCATGGGTACAGTTTGATACGGTATCGCAAACGTTATACGGCCTTTTACCAGCAAATCAGCAATCAGTTCGTCCATATCAGAATTTTACACTTATCTTAAGGGCAACAAACTCATTGGGATACTCGACTGTGCAAATTATTACCATCCAAAGCCAATACCAGTCAATTGGTAATGGCATTGTTGTAACATTCAGCGGCAGAGAATACAATATCAACCACTGGAACGACGTACAGCTGCAAAACTTCATGTTACACCAGTTGCGAGGTTATTTTAAGATTACATCGAACGATACGATAAAGATTATCTCTTTCCAACACCATGCGAATGGAGGCAGCCAGTTTATTACTCTGTGGACAGATACGAGACTCGTTGCGAATGATTGTGATATCTCACTTCTAAGAAATCTTGAATCAAAAATGTTTTCAGCCAACAACACCGTCCATCCAAATCTTATCACTAAACTGCTCCCAAATATCGTTCTGATTGATGCAAAGATTTCATATTATGGTCAATGTATCCGCAACATAACTACGTCGGCCATGATTTTCCCAACACCGACTGACAGCAATGCACCACAATATTCGATTAGACTGCCCATCGTAAACGTCACTACTGGCCTACCATTTTCATATAAAATCCCACGTGATACGTTCATAGATAAAATAGATGGTGACACGCACGCCTTGCTTCTTTCAGTCTCAGAAAGTGATGGCTCGCCAATTACCTATGCTTCACCTGCCCAATTCAACACGAGCCACCAAATAGTAGCAGGGATATTCTTTGAGAGCGTGCTGCAGGGATCTTTTTTCAAGGATTTTCACTATACTTTGACAGCAACAAACTCGAGGAATCTCAAAACATCCATTCCTTTAACAATCAGAGCTGAAGCAAATCAAAACAGACCAGGAACCATTGTTACCACCTCTGCAAACACCTTCTACAACCAAATGACACCACACCTTAAAATTTCATCCGATTTCTTGCGTTTGATTAGCAACTATATCATTCCATCAGATACGACAGACTTCTCCATTATTTCTTTGCAACACACCACTAGCAACATCGGGCAAACGACAATTGCTTGGTCCTATAATAAGATCAATGGTACAGCATGCAATAGAACCATGCTGAAGAGCTTTCTGTCCTTGCTCAACGTTCCTAATAGTCAACCAAATCCAAACTTTATCGCTGCGATGTCTCCAACTTTTATCGTGTTTGCCTCTACGAGCGAAAAAGTAAACAGTTGTGACAACAGCACCTATTTCATTAGCAGCACAATCACTCCAGTTTTTCATATAACGCCAAGCTCTTCGTTTCCTTTGCCAATTTCCCTTTATATCAGCTCAATTATTAACACGAACACTCCTCCAAAAGTAACAAGTCAGATACTGCCACTGTTTGCTTATTTTTGTTCGCGATTTTCTTACACAATTCCAAATGATCTTTTTCGTGACGACGAAGATGGTGACACACGAAGTTTGAAAATTCGCCTCCAGACACATGAAAGGATAACTATTGGTGCTTCATCGTGGCTTCAGTACAGCGACACATCCAAAGTTTTGTACGGAATCCTTAAAATAAGCGACTTCTTTAAAAAACCATCTGGCGGATACAGGTTTTACTTGGTTGCAACTGACAAGCAAGGCCTCGAAGTAAGCACGGACTTTACAATAACCATTCCTGATATTCCACTGAGATATAACCACGTGATCACTATGCGTGTAAACAGAATATTTGATAATTCTATCCCAGACGTGAATGAGCAGCTATTGATAAGCACAAAGATATTAGAGTTCTTCAAAGATTCAAACACAAACAGTATCAACATCATTTCCTACCAGAGATCTCAGGCAGGCAACAGTGCTACCATTGAATGGAGCAACTGCAGCATAGCCTACAGTCCATGTCCCATTGCAGGCCTATCTGCCATGTTGAGCAAAGTGATTGACACCTCTGGTACGGTAACGGACAATTTCAAAAGTGCAATGTTGCCTCATTATACCATACAGCAATTCAATGTTAGAAGACTTCCTCCATGTAATACAACAGAGCAATCGAGTACAGTCTCGACTATGACAATTTCTCCAAGCCCTTCCCTGCCTCCCTTTCTGCCACCATTGCTACAAGAGCCTTTAAACCAACTGAATATTAGTTGGTGTGCACCATTACAGTTACAAATTCCTGAGAAAATGTTTTCTGATGGTTATGGTGGAACTTCAAAAAATATGTCTATAGATCTTCTTCAGATTAATGGATCCTCACTACCCAGTCAGTATTGGCTGAGATTTGACACAAAAACACAGACAATTATTGCCTACCCAACACTAAATGATCTCTCTTCTTATGAAACCACGTATTTTCTCGTAACTGCGACAAATCAAAGGAAACTAACAGCAAAGGCAAACATAACTTTCGTGGTTACGAAACCAAAACCCAATCCAAATCATCAAATCAAAGTAACAGCTGCTGCTTACGTCAGTGAAACAGTTACAAATGTTGACATTAGGATTTTGATATGGAACAAAATGAAAAAGTATTTCCAATCAAATAGCACTGAAATTATCTCATTTACCAACTATTCAAGATCAATTTCAATGCCATCTCGGGTTATATTCACGTTTAGCTTCTGCTTTGTATCCGAAGATCCTTGTCAGAAATCTGAGCTGGATGACCTGTTATTAAAATTACTCATCGCTCCTGGTATTATCAACTCAGAGTTTGTTGTTGCCTTCAGCCCTGAAATCGTGCTAACAGACGTTAGTGTGGAACACGTGGGAATTTGTACCTCATACACGTTGACTCCTTCTTTGACACAAGCAACAACCTATATTCCAGTGACAAGCAGCGTCCATGTTGTTCCAAAAAACCAGCCACCACTTATCTTACAAAACATCGGCACTCTGAACATTGATGCTTGCAACGTATTTGTTTACGTCGTGCCAGAAAGAGCTTTTTACGACGTGGAAGACGGTCTTACCCAACATCTGCGCCTGTCTGTAACTCATTTTAATGGCACAAGACTTTCTAATGATTCATGGGTCACGTTCGACCAAAGAACGAGAGTTTTGAAAGCTGTTTATACGAAGGATGGAGCCCAGGATTTTCAGTTCATTCTAAAAGCTACTGACAAAGGAGGGTTGACGGCATCCCAAACTCTTCATTTCAAAGTGCAACGGCTTGTAAATCCGGTAATGTTTTCAGTCGACACTCTAGGAACTGATTATTCTTCAAAAGGGACACCAATTGTTGAAATATTAGAACAGTTCAGTAGGAAACTTGTTTCGTATATTGGTGTTCCAGTGCAGCTTCTTTCTCAAAGCAGAACAGGAAATCAGTCTTTGAAGATCTCTTGGACTATCTGCGACCAAAGTGATTGGTGCAATGACACTGCTTTCACTTTATTAAAAAACAAATTGTTAATCACCGAAACAGTCTTGAATCCAGATCTTGTGATCGCCCTAGGGCCTGCCTTTATAGTAAGACAGATAAACATTCAAAGCATTGTGTCATGCTCATCTTTAGCAAAAGCAATGTCAACAGCAGCGTCAATCATCCCTCCATCACAGGCATTTACATCCCTTCTTTTCAGTTCAACGGTATCCACACTGAACACTGCACCGATGTTTGTAAAAAGACTTCCTACTTTGATGATTAGTTCCTGTAGGCCATTCTCCATGAAATTACCTGATGCCCTGTGCTTTGATAGAGAGGATGGCTTTAACAATGTTATCCTTTCAGTTGCCTACAAAAATGGAACCCAGCTTTCAGAATCTTCGCTTCTGAATTTTAACAGAGCAAATCGGACCATTTACGGGGTACTTAAGTTGTCAGATTTAACACCTAACGGACAACTGAAGGAAGAGTTTTCGATCTACTGCCAAGACTCGAAAAACTTGGTCACCTCAAAAGAGCTTGCATTTAACGCCACTGAATCTTCGAAAAACCAGACTGGCTACTCCCTTACGTTCCACACCTATATCTACACTCTCTCAGCACAAAGAAATGTTGATATCCAGATGGTATGGATACAGAAGTTTCAGAAATACATGGCTCATCCAGATGCCAGTTTAGTGCAATTTTTGAAATTTGACAGATTATCCTCAATTCAAGCCACGTTTACAATAAGCCTTTGCAATGTTGATATATGTAACTCATCGTTAATGCTTTTCATACGAGATAAGATCTTTTCAACTATGCCTGACTTGAAACCACAGTTTGTGGCCGCAATGATACCGGAGTTTAGTCTCGTTTCAAGCACGTTGATACCGCCCTCGTCAATCGATTGTCCTATCCAAAGTACAATTGTTCCAACTCAAACTTCATTCTACAGTCAGTTAGCAAGCTCTGTTGTTTTCAAAAATCCCATTAAAGTTCTAAAAAGCATTCTGGCTATAAATATTTCACTTTGCAGTCAGTTTGTATATGAGATTCCTGAAGATGTTTTCTACGACCCTGTAGAAGGCTACACGCGTAATCTAACAGTATCGATTCATGATGACAATAGCAGTCTTGTAAATCAAAATGCCTGGCTGAGTTATGACCATACCAAACTTATGATAACTGGATATGCAGTGCAAGATGAAGTATTGCAAGATTCAAGCAAACTACGATTTAGACTCATTGCAAGAAACAGCCGAGGTAGTAGTGCAGAAGCTCTTGTCCTTTTGAATCTCTCCCCGCCGTATAATGCTGTTTATAGTGGCTTCGTCACGGAAGCAGATGTATACGGTACATACAAAGACAATGTTCAATTGATGCTTGAAATCTCCACTAAAATCAAAGCTTATATAGGAAAGCCATCTGAATCTGGCCTAGTATTTACTAAATACACAAAGTACGGTACCAATCGACCAAGAATTGAATTTACATGGAGTACCTGTTCTCTAATCGATTCATGTGACCAATCTACTTTCAAAGCAATCTCAAGCAAACTTCTTTTCTCGGGAACAATTTTAAACTTTGAATTTATAACAGCACTGGCACCAAATATCCTTGTAACACAAGCAAGAATTCTTAATAACGGAGGCTGCACTGACATCAGAACTCCCCAGACAACATATGGCACAACTTACACGCAAATCCTTACCCAGTCAGATTTGCCAACAACCTTGATTATAAGACCAACTGCATTTGTTCAAGCTTCTTATCTCACGAATACAATAAACACGGAACTGCTGAGACCTTCAGGTGCCTCTACGGCGAGTCTGGCAACTTCAAGTATCCCTTCAGTTCTTAAAGTGCAGACTCCTTTGGCACCCTTAACCTTGAATATATGCAGTCCAATCAGCTTTCAAATACCGGAAAACACTTTTTACGATAGTTATGATGGCAGCACTAGAAATTTGACGCTCACGGCCTTGCTTCAAGATCATTCAACGATCCCTCTTAACTATTGGGCAAAGTTTGTATCAGATTCGCAGACATTAATTGCTCACGCAACGCAGGCGCTTTTGAAAGATCAACCAGTTAATGGATATCAGTTCATCATAAGAGCTACAAACAGAAGAAATCAATATGCAGAGACACCACTTGTATTAAAGATATCTAGCGAGGCCCCTCCTGCGCTTCACAACATCACTGTTTCCTTTGAAGAAACATCTCCAATGGCTGCCACTTTTGTTGATGCTATCACGTTCATTAGAAGTCGATTGAGTTTATATTTCGGAGATGCAACAAACAATAGCATTGCGATTTTGCAAAGCAGACAAAGCAATACCTCACCAAAAGTAGTAAACGTGACTTGGTACAATTGTACACTCGCAAGCTTAGGGTGTAACACAAATATATTCGATGCGTATTTCTCAAGAATCGTTACGGCAAATGATATTGTTAATCCAAGCTTTACAGTTGCATTTAGGCCTTACTTCCAAGTACAGAGCGTGAGTAAGGCAATGTCAGTGCTTTGCTTCACTTCGATGTCACCACTTCTCTCGCTTCAGTCGCTGCCAATACTTGATTCATCGACATATTCTGTTCCAGTCGTACAAACAACCGATTTTGCAAAATCAGCAACTTTTATATCCATGGTATCCTCGTCAGTTATCTGGAGTCGAAACTCTCCCCCAACCCCCATGAGATCGCTGAACATTTCGGTAAGCTACTGCGATGGACTTCGCTATAAAATCCCAAATGATGTATTTCATGACAAAGAAGATGGAGGCGCTGATAAACTGACACTTGAACTTCTCTCCATTGAGAGAAACCCTTTAAATTGCAACGATACGGTGCAGTTGAATCAAACAAGCCAAGAAATATTTGGGACAATAGTCGCAACACATTGGAATACTACGCAGATACTGTTGCTAAGAGCAACGGACAAAAGTGGTTTGTCAGCAACAACTAATGTCGTCTTTACAACAAGCAAAAGACCAAGGTTCACGACATTTGCAGTAACATTCCTTGTACGAATGACAAACAGAACGTGTCTTTCAAGTGTTATTGAAGACTTAAGATATAAACTGAGTATTTTTTTGCGTCGTTCAAGCATAAGCTTTTTATCCTATGATTACAGTAGACAAGGTGATCATGTGAGCGTCATGTGGACGGATTGTTCTGCTTTTGATAAAGTATGTAACGACAGCCTTGCCCAAGACATCAAACAAAAGATTATAACGAACAGTACAATCAAACCAGAGTTGAATAATTTTTTGCTTCCAAATATCAGGCTAGAATCTGTAACAATTTCCGAAACCGAAATATGCAAAACACCATCGTCATCAGCCATTGTACTCAATATTACCCTTTGCAATAAACTGAACTATACTTTGAATGAGTCATTGTACAGATCTTCGGTGATCAGCTTAGACCAGAAGCAGAAAAGACAGGAGCTTGCGTTTGAGCTCGTATCATCAGATGGCAGGCAACTGAACTGGATAATGTTAGAGAAGGACAACATTGTAGCCATGCCAGTATACAATGAATTGAAAAACAAACCTAATACAGTTCTGCAGCTGAATGCAATATTCGACAAGCAAGTTATCAAAAGCCTGGACGTAGTGCTCCAACATTCGAATATAAAAGCAGTTCAAATTAATTTTACGATCAGTTTGACCATGATCAGTTATAAATCGATTGATATGACTGACGTCAGACTGCTTGAGGCGATCAAGATACCCATTGCAGATTATCTCAATAGTTCCTCCAGTGAATTTGTTGTTGTTAGCTACAATAGGTCAAGAGTCTATCCTGAGACAGTGAAATTGATAATAACTCCTTGCTCTACTTTACGTATCTGCAATTCAACTCATCAACAATTCGTTACAAATGCACTAGCTTTGGGGAATGGAGTTCCGACGTACGGCTTAGTACGAGCCATGTTACCAGATCTTTTCCTCTTGGGGCTCGTTGTAAATAACACCAGTCAATGTAAGTATAAAAAACCAGAGGAGAATTCAACCAATATTGAAATCGTTGTTCCGCTCTGCACCAGACTTTTCGCCAAGACAACAAGTGGAATCATCAAAAGTGCCATGAATTTCTCAGAAAAGGCACAATACAAGCTGCTTGATTCCAGTGGAAATGCATTGAGCTTGAATTCCTGGGTTCAGTTGGAAGAAAATGAAAATCTGATTTACGGTGTACCTACGCAAATGCTGCTTAAGACCCAACCAGCTGAAGGATACACGTTTATACTTAGAGCAAAAGACGATAAAGGAAGAATCAAAGATGCAAAATTGAATATAACAATCACTGGGAACAGGGCAAAGCCAAATTATACACAAACAATATTTTTCAAGAGCCAATACCTAAAAAACACTTCCGACGCTAAAATACTTCTCACTGTTCGTGACAAGCTTTCACTGTTGTTGCAAAACATTTCTTTTTTTCAAATAACGTTTATTTCCTTCAGAAAGCAGTTTGATGCAAGTCAAATGAGCATGTTGGAATTTACGAATTGCAGCTTTCTAAGTGATCCTAGTGAATGCTCCAATCAAACAATAGATATGATGTCAAAAACGCTGATAGGGAGGAACGGACAACCAACACAAGCGCTGGAAACTGCAATGCAGCCGAATAATACAATTTTCAAAATTATAGAAACGAGGTCCTATCCTTGTAGAAATATTTCCAATCACCCACCTACGTCTGACAAGCCATTTCCGTTGCTGAATGTGTCTGTTTGTGCAAGGCTTGAGCTTAGTATACCTGACGCTACCTTTATAGACCCTGAAGATGGTAATGCCTCATCACTGGTGCTGTTCTTGAAATCATCAGATGGCAAATATCTTCAGTTAGACAGCTGGATACAGCTTGATCTACTTATGAAGACAATCTACGGAATACCAACTTATGATGTAATATCAAAGAGACCATCGAATGGGTACATCTTTAGACTAGAGGCACAGGACAGTAATGGGGCTGTAGCATCACTGCCAATTACAGTCAACATGAGCGGCAATACACCAAATAGAAGCCTTGTCAATTTGCTCGTTGAAACACCCCTTCTTGACAGTGCTACATCTATCGTGATCCAAAGAGCGTTCCTGATCAATTCTGCAAAATGTCTAAACATATCACAGCAAGACATCGCCCTTGCAAACTATAAGGTTATAGAAAGGACTACAAAGCAAATCAATATATCGATATTTTATAACTGTACCTATTCTCAAGATCAGTGTGACAAGGCACTCACCATTGAATTCTTGAATCGAGTATCGTCTAATTCGACCTACAGACAATGCGTTTATCCAGAATTCTCTGTCATCAAAGTCGACATGACTCTGACTGAGTCCTGTAAGAATACCACCGCAAATACGGCACCGTCATCAAAATTTTCTTCACTCCAGCTAAATATAACAATATGTGAAGCTTTGTACTACAAACTTCCAAACAATACATTCACAGATGCGGAAGATGGCGTAGAGATAATGAAGAGCATAAAACTCGTAAAAGCCAATGGCAGCCCAATTCAGAAATCCGATTTTGTGCAGCTGAATAAAGCAACTAATACTATTTATGCTCTCTACCCAGGTATTGACGATATGAAACAAAACATCTTCTCAAATTACTCATTGGAAGCAGTAGATTCAAGCGGTGAGAAAACAAGATCGACTGTTGCCATAAATGTACCTGAAAGGACGCAAAATTTTACATATCATATCTGTCTTGTTTTGAGACAATATTCTCAGGTACCTCAGATGGATATCGATGTTGTAATTGAAATTTTACAGAGAATCGAAAGGTTTCTTACTAATTCATCTCAGAGCCAATTCATAGTAGCTAGAAATTACAGTCTTACGGAAATATATCCAAGAAGCATCAAACTGTGCATTACAAACTGTAGTTTTTCCGATGGCGCGTGTCACGAAACGTCGGTTAAAGAATTGAGAAAAGTCATCTTTCTTCGTGATAACATCGCAACACAACAGTTCAGACAAGCATTAGGCCCAGATTTCATGATCACGGAAGTCTCCGACTACTACGCAAGTCACTGCCAAATGGCCCCACTAACGTATGCAATTTACCCAACAGTGGTGTCTTCCTTGGTTTTGGCTACAAGTAGCATTATGCCTACACCATATCATTTCTGCTTCTCTGGCAAAAATTCATCACCCAAGATCATCAACAGTGTAGGTTCATTAACAGTCTACATTGGACGCCCATTGATGTATAACATCCCAAATGATATAGTCTACGATAAAGAGGATGGCTATCTGAAGGTCAAGCTGACTAACATGGATAACACTGCCATAGAACACAAATGGCTTCAGTTCGATGAGACCGAGCAAAGAATTTATGTATCAGTTTTTGAAACTGAAAGATCTAATTTCAAAAGTGAGCAGTATTTTAGATTAGTGGCGACCGATTCATGCGGCATCAAAGTATACGACATTTTAACTGTCACTGTTGTGGGGGCGGTTTCTTGTTGTTATGTTATACAGTTGGAGTCTACTCTCAACTATTTGAATTGGACAGGAAATGTCACAACACAATATGTCTTCTTTAAAAGGCTTGTGAACGCTTTCAACGACACGCAAGACCAGCTACGACTTTATGGGATTGTAAACCAAACATATAATATCTCAAAGACTGCCGTGTTGTTTACAAACTCCTCATATAGTAATGAATCATGTCTTCTTGAGCACACTGGTCAGTTGTCTGATGTCGTGTTTCTCAAAAATGGTACCTCGAGAAAAAGCTTCGTTTCTCAGTTTGCAGACTTTGGCATCGTGGATGCAGTCGCAGGAAATAGCAGTAGCTGCAACAAGACTTTTGTACCGCTGATTCCAATAACGGTAAACACCCCAGGGGCTGCAAAAGCACGGACGTTTGATGATTGGTTATGGTATGTGCTTCCCTTTATCATCCTTGCATTTCTTGTCATCTGTTGCTGCTTTCTGTTCTACTGGTGCGGGGCCTGTCGCCAGACATGCTGTGGAGGAGCAAAGAAGTCGGGTGATTTATTTTCTGCCGCAGCAGCAGCAAAACCAATACAAGAAGAAATAATGATGCCAGTAGCTGCTGACGTCGCGCAAGCAGAAGACCCAAGTACTGCAGCAGTTGCTGCTAATGCTTTGTCTGATAATGGTTCTTCTAAAGATCCATTTGAAGAAATGTATGCAGACATAGACGCAACTGCTAGAAATTCATCTGTGCCTTCACTTTACAAAACAAGAAGTAAGCCGCTGTGGATGAAAGCAGCGAAAAGACCGCAAGCAGGAGATCCGCCATCCGATTCAACTGGAACCAAGCCGATAGAAGAACCGATTCTTCAAAGTGCTGCTTCTTTACCGCAGGAAGCCCCGCCTGATACAACTGACGGACTGGCAATGCCTATTGCAGCTTCTTTGCCTAGACCTTCATCGCCAGAACAACCAATGACAGCGACATACTCTCCAAACACCCGTCATCGACCAAGCTATCTAATTTCGCCTTCTTCATCTGTGACATCAGTTGAAGAGGATCCTCAGACTGCTGCTGCAATTGCACCAATGGCACAAGGTCCATCTTATTCTGAAAGGCCTTTAATCCATGAAGATGGGTTGCAGGCAATTAGCAATACAGGTTTTGAAGCAGCTCCTGCCCCAGTACCTAACGAGCCGTCGATAAACCCAGTTAATGAGAATCCAATAGAATCAGGCATCCTTCCTCAATTCCAGCAACCTCTATCAGCACCATTGTTAAGATTACCTTCTACACCGATAATCTCTCCCAGTGAAGCACCACCACCATATTCACCTCCAGCTATGATTAAAGAACGGGGGCCTAGGTGGTTCAGAACCAGACCAGCAACTCGGGTCATAGAAAAAAGGCCAACAAAGACAATTATACATATACCAAAACGTTTATCACGACTTCCTAAAATCAGGCACACGAAAGATCATTTTGAAGAAAGACCTTATCCTCGAAAAAGCACCCAGTCTGTAACAAGCCCATTGAAATATTCAGTTTCCCTGGAGTCCAGAAATGGCCTAAAACGCAGATCGATAAGTGGTTCGAGAAAACGGCAAGTTATTCCGATCCGTACACTACGTAGGGAGTCGAAACGTGTTGAACCTGATCAAAGTTATGAACGAATAAAAAGCTTTGAAAGTCTTATACCAAAATCTAATTTAAGGCCAAGCTTCGATTACTTAAGTGACTACTATACAGACGTCACTTCGGTCGGAGAGCATCCTCCAAGAATGCCAAGATACGGCAGCAAAGACTTTTTACACAAGGATGACTCTTATAATGCTTTATCGGAGGATCAAGTTCCAGTGAAAATCAACGGAGTCGTTAAAGCCCCCGAGAAGCTATTAATGAAGTGGTTAAAAGATGGGTCGTTACAAACCACTATAACAAACGCAGATCCCAATTTTGATGATTCATTTGTACTAAAGAATAGGCCAAAGAAAAGAACTAAATCACCTTTGCGTGGGGTTCACCAGATAACAAGTAGGCATGAACAGAGGCCGTCCCTTTTTGAACAACGGGGAGGTGATTTGGATGAGGTACACTCTTTCACAGATCTTCTTCCCAGGAGACAAAGCAGACGGAAAGGAAGGCAAATTTCAAGAAGCCAAACAGGGCGGCATAAACACAACGCAGCTTTGAGTGACATTGCGGAATCTACTGGAAATGTCTCCGAACGACCATTAAGTATAGGATACCCTTACTCGAAAGACTTATACGAATATGTCCAGACTGTTGTGAGACCAAGAGAAGTGGATAAAATAAGAAAGGACAGGCCATTAACAGATTCTGTTGATATTTCTTTCGAAGATAGCAGAAGTGCAAACCAAATACAAAAGAAGGTTGTTGCAGGGTCTCAAAATGGCTTGACTCGACAAAAGTCAAGAAGAAGTATCAACGAAATACTGTCAAGAATGACCAGAAGACGTCAGCTGAAGAAACACAGACGGGCGTTCCAAGACAATGAATTTCACGAACTGTGAATTTTCTTTGCAGCAACAAAACAGTAATTCCCTGTTGCTGGAAAACAGATTTTATTTCAAGCTACCATCTTATCGATGATTTAGGCGATTTTTTCTAATTGTTATTATTAGAATTATGGTGATAAGATTTTAATCAAAGCACGAATTTTGACACAGTGAAAATTTTTATAGCTTGTAAGCATCAATCTTTACGTGTTCATAGTATAAAAAAAAGAGATGTTGAAGTAAAAAATTAAATTTTAGATTTTTTAGACAAAATATTGACAGAAGTTTCATGTAGATACGTTTGAAATAAAAAAAGGCAGGAATTTTGCTGGCCTAGTAATGACTTGGTAAATTTGTAAGAGGAAAAAGTAGTTTCTATGCTGACAATCCCCTCGAATCTATCTCAATAAGCTACATGAAATAACATGACTGTTAAAACTGCCATTTACTTCATATTTCTTAACAGTATAAACAAGTCGCCCGATGAAATGATTTTCTGGTAGTTAAACTTCTTAGAGCCTGAGTTGCGATTTTTTTGCTGTATATGTAAAAAATTTTGTCATCGCCGTTAGCAATTTGTCATCGCCGTTAGTTTTTAATATTTCACTAAGTTTTTTAAAGTATGAGCCTAGAGTTTCTTATGGATGGTTTCTTATGTAGAAAAAACAATATTATTCGCTTATTGTGTTCTGAATTCTTTAATCTGTGGTTATACTTTTTTGTGACAAGACTGTTTGAATGATTTTGTGTCAAATGGCTTCCACTCATGGACAGACAAAGTTTTAACTACCATATACTTTAAAACGAATATTTCAAAAAAACTAATTTTTTCGAAAACTAATTATTTATTACATACAAATCTGGAACAACGTCACAGTGGCGGAGATTCAGGCTTTCATTTGGGAGTGCTCAGGCCTACGATGTGCTAGTGCCTCCCTTTAACCTGACCGCTGTCTAGTGCTGTTGCTTAAATTTGTTTAATTTTGTGCGACTTGCTTGATTTTCGTGCGCGTCGTTTTCACTTTTGTGTTAATCAGTTTGCTTCAATATTAATCGGTACTGAATTCACGCGACCAGTTTTGTTTGTATGGGAAAGAGTTTAAAAATAGTGCGCTGCAGTTAAAGGCCACCTTAAAAATACACACTATGTCAATAAGACTGGACTGTTGCATTCATTATACTAAAGGGTGTGCTAAAACTATGGTGAATGAATCTTGGTAGAGCTACGGATCGGTCTCAAAGGCAATCCACGATAAAGGGTTTATGCCATCTTTCAACCACAAATTGACCAATCAGTGATCGTCATTCCACTTACACTTGACTGATGGTCTACTAAGTCACTTTTATATCTATCGATTGCCTTTAAGATCTCCCTATTCTGTCATTTTTCTGTCACATATTTAAAAAATGTGCTCTTGGCATTTCTATTTTAGGCTTATTCTTCCCATTCTATCCAGTTCTCAACATCCACTCATTTGCGCTGGCCTTTCTATTCTAGACATGCATATCCATGTTAATCAATGAGCTTACTGTTTGTAAATTTTCTGCAACTGCTTACATACCCAGTTGCAATAACTTGGCTCTGCACGATATTGCTAGATAGATAGAAGTCAAAAATCTGTCTGCAAGGCACTCAGGGCAAGAAAAAGGTATCAGATGAAAGTTTCTTACAGAAAAATGCAGGCACATCAGAGCGTTGAGAAAAGTGGAGAACAGGGAGTCAAACCGAGTGAAAAGAGACTTGACTGGTGACCCATTTCTTGCCTCGTTTCGTTTTCGGCGAAAAGTGAAGCTTTAACTCATAGCTCCCTGCTTGTGGTGCCTGATATGGGTGCCCAGAATCCTACCCATTCTTCTCTAGGACTGCTGTGATGACGCGTTGAACTGGGAAGGAGAGCCCAATGTGTTCTCTAATTTCCTTTTGCGTCCGTCCACAGTTGGCGCGAACACTTTGGAGTGCCTGAAAATTTATTTTGAAGAATATAATTAAAAGAAGCTCAATTCAATTACCTATTTTCAACCACTTTGATAACATTTGCCTTCAATTTCACGAGAAGTAGCTACTGGTCAAAACTAAGCTTTATCCATCAAAGGACAAGAATCTTCGATAATGGCGTCTGGGCCTAAATCCAATCTTGCTTCTGGCAAGGCAAATGATACAAGGGTTCTTGCATTGAAATGCAAATGGAATGGCTGCGGAACAACGCTTGCACTACCTGCAGATGGGTATCAGGCATTTGCTGAGCATGTTCTCAGACACTTAAAAAGCTATTTAGATGAAATAATGCCATGTAGAAATGACGAAGAAACAACACTTGCTCTGCCACTTAAATGTCTGTGGTTTGAATGCCAGTCAGAAATACGACGAAGTGTTGGGGAGTTTACGCGTCATGTTATGTTCCATGCCTATCACTCAAAACTAAAGTGCCTTGGAGCTTTTATTGTGATTGCTGAAAAGCTAAGACAGTGTTCGTTTGATGTAGAAACACAGGATTTATTGCCAGATTTATCTGATCCGTTTCTCTGCAGGTGGGAATCCTGTGGCCTTGAATTTTATTGCCCAGATCAGTTTTATAGACATGTAGACATGCATGGTCACGAAGCACATCGTGAAGATGTTTTAGTTACAACAGGAGAAAAAGTGAAGGCTAAGAATGATGGAGAATTTGAAGAAGAGTTAGAAGGGCTAACTGTCCAAAAAATGATGCAATCTGTATGCAGGTGGGAAGGTATCCACTTTCTTTTGTTCTTGCCATTTTTATGAAGAATGCTTGTTTTAAGTTCTTAAAACAACAATTGACTATTCCTCATGTTGGTATGTTCTTTACTGCAAAACTTGAAGACAGACCGTTTGGTTAAGATAGGCCAAAGCAAAATTATCAAAATTTTGTCCAAGAGTGCATTCAAAGTTCTCTAAATTCTTGTTTGCTAATATTGCATGTATTCTATAAAAGGTTTTCTGGATGCTAGCAATTTTTTACATTCTAATAGGAATTCCAGTTGTAGGAATCATGAAGTTTAGGACATTGGTTTGATTCTTTTAAGTAGCTCATCTAAGTAGCTCAAAACAAAACAAGAGAAAAGGCAGTTATTGAGCTTTGCAATAGTAATAATAATAAGCTACCTTACTGAATCATGAGATATATCTGTTTCTTTACATGGAGCTTATTTACCCTGAAATAGCTTCACCAGTCTTATTTTGACATCTTTTTGGGGAATATAAAAAAACATTAAAATCCTGCCAACAGATTGAGAAGTATAATTGGAAAGTTTACATTTTTACCACATTTTGTTAGCATGAAGTTTTATATAGCCCTAGTAGTTGCATTTTTCATATGCTGTAATGTTTAAATGCAGTATTATATTGATGGGTGTAATATAGTCCACACATTAAGAAGATGTGTTATTTGTGGCTGTTTATAAAAAGACTTTGGTTTTTTAACTTTAGGATGTTCATATTTGGCAAAAGATCCTTGGAAAATCAAAGAGCACTGCAGAACTCATACTGGGGAAAGAAAAATAGCTTGTCCAAGTTGTGGAATGTTTTTTGCTAATAAGACTAAATTGGCAGACCATTTGATTCGACAGGATACAGAGCAATGTATGGATGAACCTGTGCCCTTATTAATCTAAAGATTAATTTATAAGATCTATAACTTGATCTGTTTATAGCATGATACCTGAATATCACTTTGCAGGCTTAGCTATCAATTGCTCTAATCAGATGACTGACCTTTTGAAGCATATCAGCATAATGATTGATTACACAGTTGCGTTCTTTACTAGCTATTTTCAAGTCTTTTTCTTTATGTTTTACTCATTGAAGTGTTTGCAACAGAAAAACTTTTACTATGTTGCTATTTTACTTTAGTTAGACAGTTTAAATCAAGATACCATGCTTTATACAATTTCACACTAACTCATACTATATTTTCCAATTTTTTTCTTACAGATGAGAATTTTCAATGTTCTCATTGTTTGAAAAGATGTGCTAGTGAGAGACTTCTCAGAGATCATATGAGACATCATGGTATAACTCACATCATAAAATTTGTTTTTTCAAGTTGATATTTGAGAAGTTCTTGAGAAGTAGTATTTCACTTCTGTTGTTGTACTTATTTTAATCAACAAGTGAGCATTAACAATTTTCTTCAAGTGAGCATTAACAATTTCCTGAAGCTTTCTTTTAAACCCTGGTTAAGTTTAGTGAAAGTTTATTAATCTTTTGCTTTATCAACTTATCTAGCTTTTCCTTGCACCACGTGCTTCTACACACTATTTTTCTAACAGACTCTATGTAAAATAGGCAATGTACGTACATGATACAAAGTAGATCACATATTTAAACACATTATGTTAAATGATATCAAGATTTTTATAAGTAGTTACTTGTGATATTTTTCCCAGAAGCAATTTATCAGCAAGAAGGGTTTATAATTTAGTGAAAGTACACTAGAAAAGTTTATTTACATTTTCAGGACCTATTACGTGATAGTGTTTGTACAACCAATGTTCCACTTCACCGTATAAACTGTCAAATATAATTTAGATTAACTTTAGTAAGTCCTTATCTTAATGGAGTGCAGAGTGCATTAACTCATGTTGTGCATCCTTCAGTGGCCATTAGTAGTCTTATAAGTATTAATTTATTTGATAATATAGTCTTTATAATAATTTACTATGAAAGTATAATCAATATAGTCTTTGTATATTTATACATGAACATTTATTTGTCTCAATGACTTTATAAATATAGTTGACAAATACCACTAGGCACATAAAAGTTTTTTGCTTTTTTGCACAATGGTTTCTATAGAGTTGTATCTCTGTAATTATTTTCATTCCAAAATTTAGCAAGTTTTCATGTGTTCATATAACCTTGGGTTTATTGTCAATGTTTAAGTAAAATAGTTTGGTTTGGCTAAACAATAAGAGTGGCGTGTCAGCGTGATCATTATTTAAATTATTCTTTTTTTAGTGAACCATGTGAAGTGCCCTCACTGTGATATGACCTGTCCAAATCCATCTGCTTTGAGAAGTCATTTGAAGTTCAAGCACTCCCTTGATCGTCCATTCAAGTGTTCTATGTGTGATTACAGGTAAAACTTTTGAATTTTTGTAACAAGTACCTTTTTTAATGTGTTTTGTTGTTTATTGCAAACTTTTACTAATAAAATTTGCCTTATCATTCCAATGGCATTGTGAAAACCATTTGAAATTAATAGGTAAGTAGGACTGAAGTAAACATTTTTTCTGTTAAAGTAAACATTTTTTCTAAGAAGTCTTCTGTTAAATTTTTTTATCAAATTATTGTTTACATTGATTGTGTTTATTTGTAGTTGTAAGACCAAACATGATCTTCAGAGGCATGAAGAAATTCATTTTGAAAAAAGATTTGGTTGTGAAGTTGAAGGTTGCTTTTATGAAGGAAAAACCATGTCTGGCTTGCGAGCACATGTTAAAGCAGTACACAATGTAAGTATGACAATTTTGATTTGACTTTTTATACTCTCACCCTGTTCCCGTTATCTAAAAAGAGGCTGGTACTTTTTTTGTTGAACAGTAAACAAGGATGGTTATGATAAATGGGTTCTAAGATAGTGTTAAGCAAATGGTTGATTGTGCAAGCAACTGCATTTTCTCCAGCTTCAATCAAGAGGAAATAAAGATTTAAAGCTAAAAGCAACTCCTCTGCTGTGTTTGTGTAAAAATCAAGTTGTAGGAAAGATCTTACCACAGTCTTTTTACTTGTAATGATACATTTTTCTCTTACAACACATACCCAATCACATGTGTAAAAAGGTCATAATTCTTTCTTGAAATTTCCGAACATTCAATTTAATGACCCCTCTCCCCATTTAATCAGGCACCAACGAGTACTCCTAGGATAACTGACCAAATTTTATTAATTAATTAATGCTTTCCTTTTCTTTCTTGACCCTCCTCCACCAACATTTATGTTGCTTCGTAGATGCCAAAATTTTCAAATGTTGCTTCGTAGATGCCTTTTTTGCTAAAGATAAATTTTTCTGTCCAACCATGTCCGTTTTTAAACAGTGGATTGTATATCTCAACATCTGAACAAATTCATATTTAATACTTTCCGCCTTAATAGCGAAGCGGTGTGAGGCAGTTCATGTGTCATATATGCGAAAAGACATTGTCACGTGGCTTTCTTTTGACGAAACATCTCAAGAAAGCTCACCATTTCAGCTGGCCATCGGGACACTCGCGTTTTCGGTAAGTTAGTATGTCACTATACCCTATGAATTTTCTGATTCACTCTGAAGTTGTTTCTTTAAGTGGTTTCTAAAACTGTCCAGTTTAATTTATAGAACAGCTTTCTTCTAATAACTTTTTCGATTACTCGATTCCTTCCTTTGATTTAAAGAGACAATATACAAGTTGTTAAATCAGTGTGTACTTTAAGGCTATCGTCAACATGTTTTCTATTGTCTTCCAAAGGATTAAGAAATAGAGAAGAATAAAGGGGTAATTATCACATATGTAACCAAATTAATATGTTAAGAATGGCTATTCTCCCCAGTTCACACAACGATATGATCTCGCTCATATGCGCCTTATTTGTAGCATTTTTAAGCATGCCATAGCTATTTCCGAAGTAAGGAAACATTTTCCTATATTTCAACTCTGTTTATTAACCAATCGGCTTTCTTTTTCTTTGCTAGTTATAAGCTCGATGAAGATGGATATTATCGACTACAAATGGTGCGGTTTGAAAGCGCTGAATTGACAGAACAGCTGTCTGGAGGGGAGAATTCTCGAGGCGATAATCTGTTAAACGGCGAAGAGGAATCAGGATCTGTTATTATTGATGAAAGCTCTATCCAAAACTCAGTGATCATGAGAGATTTGTCTGCAGAAGCTGCTGGTACGGATTCAGCTGTGAACTCTGTTAATTTCAGCAGTAATGACAGCCCGGACCTTGCGCAAGCTGGATTGTCAACCCCCCAACCAAACTCAGGGGTTGTCTCTCTAAACCTGAATGAAGGGTACGAAGTCCTTTTGCGATATTATGAAATGACAAAAGAAAATGAGAATCTGAATTCAGATTTTAAGTCTTCAAATCAAAATGTTGGCATTGCTGAGGATTTGGGGAAAGCTAAAGAAGTTGCAGAGTCCGAATATTATCAAGAGCGAATTGACAGAAACTCTGAAACGAAAGCAAAAAGAAAGCAACTGGCGATCGATCAAAAACACACCAAAAGACGAAGAAAAGATAATCGCTGAATTGACCTGTAAATAATTCGTTGCTAGATATTTATGTTAATGATTTCAAAGACTTCTTTTAATTCGTGGATCTAACCATTCCTATCTTTAACAACTGAACGCTCTGCTATGGAATAAATAGATTTACCGTTACTGTTGAACTGTTACGGTTAGGGCTATTTTCCTATCAAACGTTTGCCTGTGAATCTGATTCACTGCATCAAAACTGTTTTAAAGGAAATCCACATTCAAGAGATACACTATGTGCCAACGTCTATGCCCATTTAAGAGTACATAAATTTAGAAAATCAAAAGCCCTTTGCTCCAGAGCTTTGTGGTATTCGGGTTACGCCAGATAATATTTAGAAAGTCTGCAAATATCTCGTAAACCCGGTCGTTTATCCTAGCAAGATTGCAATGCTAGGAACATAGAGCTGAATCCACTCGACTTGTTTGTGCAGCCTCTGAAATACAGCCTTACATGTGCAGCCTTTTCCCGTATCACCACTAGGTCAGAGGATACAGCTTGACCATAACTTAACTGTCGTTGTCCCGAAACCCTTCCTCAATGGCAAATGCTAACCACGAGACTTAAGAACAGCGTTTATATGATGAATGATCATGTTTGTTTTGTAAGTTTGTATTGATGATATTATTTCTGTTGTTATTGTTTGATGTTGATGATAGATGATCTATTCTGTTTGCAACTTCTTCTTTTATTACGCCAACGTCTGATAGTGAAGATTTCAGACTGCTTCTGTTGAAAATGAATTAGCAAAGACCTTTTCACTTTTGTATAGGATTAGATAAGCAGACCACTTTGAGCTTGTATGTGCGGGAAACGTGCATTTGAATGACTTAACAGCCGCTAAAGTAGGCCTTGCAACCAATTATTGTTGAGTACATTCAGGCACGTGGTGTGTTATGTTCTTTTGTTTTCTTGTCCTAAGTGGGCGTGTTTGTTTCTGCGCTTAGCTAGTTTTTGTCCAAAACAAAACTATCATCCAAAGTGTTGCAACTACAGTCTGTAAACTTCTGCATGAGTCTGGCAGGTCTTTAATAGCATCATCGACTTTGATAACAGTAAGCAAGTATGCTTCTCTGACATTGTTTTACTAGGCCCAAGTCTCTCAGTGTTTCCATGGAAACATTAATCTATAGTTCTGAGATGTTTCATTTAGGTGTTTACTGGAAAGCACGTGGTTATTGTAGGATAGCACAAGCACAACCATACCTTTGAATTGCTTAGCAACGAATTGAGATTTGTAGACTGACCGAAGCTGTAAAAACATATCGATATCATGTTAAAGGGAAACAAATTCAAAACTTTACGCTATATGTTAGCATCCAAAAGACTTGTGCTCTTATCAGTCTCAGTAATTTGTATTATAGTTGCGCTAATTTTAATTGGGAACAGTCAGTCTAAAAACAGAGGAAATATCTTGCCTCACTGGTTTAGTGCAATAAATGCAAGACGAAGTGGTGTCGACATTACAGCAATATCATGGGCAAAGCGCCATCGTCCAGCGCTCCATGGATCAAAGTTAGCAGACGAGATAAGCTGGGAAATACGTCGAAATTTGAGCAGAAGTGAAATGAGGCTAGTAAAGCAACGACTGTCAAGGCACAAGACATATGTTAGCAACTATACGGCCTGTCTGAAGAAAAGGTTTAAAGAATTTGAGCGAAATTTGCCCAAGAAGTTGATGAGGTTCCCACCAGCGTTTAATGAACTTATGATGCAGCTACACAAAAAATGCAATGCTGAAATCCTTGGAGGAGGAGAGAGATGTGGTCCCAAGCATCAGAAGCTGGGTGAGTCTAGTTTTTAAATGACTTTTTATGGGCTTGCTCTCTAAGCATTTTCTTTCTGTTATATTCTGTCAATAACTTTGAAAAAAAAGAATCTTTTGAAGAATGACTATTCTATTAAAGCATATGTTATATTGCCCCTAACAAATGAAGACAATGGAAGCTCAGTTTGTAACGCAAAAGCAGAGGATAAAAGTTTCATAGGCCACATTGTATAATCACTATTGGATGTGGCATGTCGCTCTGAATTATTCAATTAATTGTATAATCCCCAACGACAACATGATATATTAGCATTCCAGTATGAATGATTCTAGTCTTAAGAAAAAAGTTTGGCATGAAAGGAAAAAGAAGATTTGATATACTGTGGTACATATGGTATCAGCGTGTGGCCAAAAAACTTGCTTTCTTCTGATTTGTTTTTACTTTCTATTTTAACATCTGTCCCAAATCAAATGCCATGGAATATTTTCGAACAAATTATGTCATTCTGAAGGTCTTAGTGAATTTGAATCGTTATACATGAATACGTGAATTTGAACCGTTATACATGAATTTGAATCTTCTCTTGTGCTGTCCTTGCATAATATGTCAATGCAACTAAACTGTATTTGATAACACAAGGCATGATTTCACAATTCTAGCTGGACATCTTTATGTAAATAAAGACGTATTACCGATGGATGAATTGAAGAAAGAGCTGTCTACTGTTCGACTTGGCGGCCTGTGGAGCCCCAGTGACTGTACGCCAAAGGCAAAGGTATGTCAAAGCATTGAAGCTGAGATATATCTGTTATGAAGTAGTTGCTGAAGCAGACATATCATTAAAGAAAATGGTTTAAATTAGTAATCATAAAGATTCATTCAGTAATGCAGATTACTTAAATCGTATATTTTTAAATCATCACTAAAACTCAGCTTGGTTTGTTTGAAAGAAAGTAAATTTAAGACGTTTAACAATAAATGTTAGGATGAGGAATAACATATTCAATCTGTTTTTCTAAGATGAAGTCTGGGTAACATTCTTAATCCGCTCCTCTACTACCTGCTATGCGACAAAAGTGCATTAGATACCCGTAACTTTTAACTTACTTGTTTGCCTATTCTTTATGATAATGTTCTGTTTCTTAATCATCGATTTTTAGCTAGCTATTGTGATACCATTTCGAAGGAGGGAACACCACTTGCCTGTACTCCTTCGGCAACTCCACCCAGTGCTACAAAGGCAAAAACTGCTATACCGAATATTTGTCATTGAACAGGTAACAGCTAGATGCCAAGATAATTAATTTGTTTTTATTTCTCTTAACAGCAAGTAATATTTATTTTGAGAAAGTAACAGAAAAAGTTGGCTCACACAAATAAAATTTGGTTATCTGAAGATATTCCGATCCAATGTACTGAATCTGGAATCATACAAAGAAATAATTTAACAAACTTTGCGTATTGCTATAAACGATGAACTACGGTGCTGGACCACTGCTGTATCAATCTTTTATATTTTTAAGTTTTTTCCAGTTAAGATAATTAGTATACATAGTTGCACACATACATATTTGACATGCAGTATGATTAAGTTGAAATGGAATGGTTAATTATGTTTAATTCATACTTTGATTTTGCCATTAAATCGCTTTTAATTTTTAGACTGTCAGTCATTCTAAGATAAATTCTTTTAATAAAGTTACATCATCCTTCTTGCTATAACTATTTGATAGCTAAGATTATAAGCCTAATATGCGAATCATTGATAAACGGTAAGTTAACACTCTTATTATGTGGATAATTTGTATTAAATAATTGTGTCTAGAAAGTTCAGTTGCATTTTGTGTCAATGATCACTCCCAACCCTCCCTCTTTTTCTTAGGTAGACATGTACCCTTTTAACAGGGGGAAATTAATGAATGTTGGCTTTGTTGAAGCAAAAAAGGTCTTCAATTTTGATTGCTTTGTCTTCCATGATGTTGATTTGATCCCCGAAGACGATCGCAACGACTATGGCTGTCCATCATCACCTCGACATTTGTCTGTTGCCGTTGACAAGTTCGATTACAAGTATTTATTTTAATTTCTTAAGTCGTTGTTCCTATTCTGGATTTAGTTTTTGGCCTTATTTGCATCAGAAAAGCTCCCATCGCCTTGACTCGAATAACTATATTCAAAACCACCGCCAGTTTTACATTAATGCCTGCATAAAAGTGATCCATAGTTTCCACTTTGGCTTTCAAAGTTACTTTCTTTGGTGTGTTTCTGCTTACAGAAGGACTCAAAGCCAGGGACTACAAAGGCGGGAGGAAAGAGGGGCTACGGGGGCTTTAGTCCCCCAAGAAATTTCAAAAATGTACCGTAAGCCATAAAAAAGTCGCTCTTGTTTTGGTTTGGGGCAAAACTATTTTAGCCCATACAATCTGTAATATGCTCCACGGTCCTTGCTCAAAGCTGTAATTTATTTTCCAGCAACTTTGATTAAATAATTGGCACTTGCAATTGTGGATATTACGACAAGTTTAAAAAATCATATCATGCCCTTTGAGGCCCGTGCATACATTTTACCGCGTGCTGATGAAAAACTGACTTTTATTGGTATTATTAATTATTACTTCTACTGCAATTCTAATATGCATGATTGATGACAAACCTTTTGATAGAAAAATCTACAAATTAATATGTATAATGATTCTGTTTTGCGTTCTAGCTTGCCATACGCTGGAATTTTCGGTGGTGTTGAAATGTTTACAAAGGAGCATTTTCAGATGGTGAATGGATTTAGAAATTCATATTGGGGATGGGGTGCAGAAGATGATGACTTATACAGAAGGTATTTATGTCGTTGGTATTCTCTAAGCGAACTTCGAAGTCTATCTTGTTTATAAGGCAATATGATACAGGTTTCTGCCATGAAAAAATGATCAACAGATACTTGCAGGTGAATGAGGAATTACGTACTAACAGAAAATATTCTTATATTATTGAAGATATATATTTTTATACGAAAAATTTTATAGAAGATCGCTTTCTTTGGATAGACGGGTTTTCTGATTCCAACCACATAATTTTATCCACATGATAGAACAAATATTTCAAAAAGATTGTTGTCACTGCCTCATTTTATCTAAGACCCCCTTCAAATTCCTTTGCAGCAGATCATTTAAATATACATTAGAACTGTGTTTTTGTTACATTGTGAAACTGTGAAAACAAGCACCCATCCAGCCATTGTAGCGTTTACATGCCGTAAGAAAATGGACAAAAATAGCAATCCGTTAAACAAACATACCAGCTCAGAATACCCAAACCTATGGATGAGTAAAGAAGTTCTCTAGAAGGCTAAAATTGATGTAGATTAGCTACTTACATAAACAGCAGATTTTTATTGCAGCCCTGTTGTTTGTATCTTGCGTTCCTTATCTCATCGCAGGACCGTCAAGGTTGGTTTACAGTTAACCAGGCCATCAATGAAACATGGGCGTTATACTATGATAAAACATCCATCATCAGAAACTCCACCAGACAGGTAAGCAAATTAAATACGACAAGTAGCGTACTAAATGTAGATCTGAGCCGAGGACGCCAGAGAAAGGGGGCCAAGATGAAGGTGCAAAAGGAAGGGGTAAGGGGGCTTATTTTATAAAGGTGTTTTTGTAATTATAAATAATTTTCTCATTTTTTGTAATTTATATGACTTTCTGATTGTAGAGTCTTTCAATCGATATTCTTGTTGATTTGTCGGCATTCTACTTAATTTACAAAACTTTATTTCGTGTGTCAGAAGTTTGCCCGTCTCCAAAATGCCTATCAAATCAAATCAAAGTTGGCTGTTACAAAGCAAATGCCCTATGTCCGATAGCTTATCTCTTTGCACTTTAGTTGTTTCGGCGTCTGTTTTTACACAACACGTTTTGCAAATATCAAGCTCATTATTAGATTTCTATGATGCATTTTTTTTAAAAACTAATAGGTAAATCAAATGATAAGAGCTTTTTGAATTTTCAAAATAACCCTTTGCTTTTGTGCAAAAGGTTTCATTTTTTAAGGCCTATAAAGATTATATTGAAATGTATCGTTAAATTCATGATTCGATGAAAATTTAGTGTGTACACATCGTTCTAACAAAAACAGGTTCTAACAAACCACGCCTATTTTAGGTTGAATGCTTAATCATTTGTTTAAAAATCTTTAAGTTTTCAATCTAAAAATATAAAAAGGCTTCCAAATTCTCATATCTCATCCTCAAGTGAAGATTTGTTTTCTCAATTGTTATTCTATTAAGGTTAGTAGTTAAGTCACGTCAATGAAACGTTTATATTTTTTTACACCACAAAATTGCAAGGTTTGCATAAAATGTATCATAAAAAGACACTGTCTGTATCACTGCTTATTTATATATGATCGGAATGTTTCATTTTTTAGACTCGACAAACTAGGGGTTGCAGAGAATGCATTAACCTCAGATGGGTTACTGTCATTACACTACAAGCGTTTATCAATTCATGAAAACTTGCTCTACACTCTTGTGAGGGTAAATTTGAGAATGGAGGATGACATGGTGTACTAGTAATACTGCTGTTGAGCTAGTTTAAAGGCAATCTGTCTCGTTGTGGATTGGTTAACGAGAACAATAGCTGGAACAATAGCCTAAACACGATTCCAGCGCTCCGCCATATTTTTACAATTCGATAAATTAAAGGGAGACTGGAAACAATAAAAATCCCTTTGTTCTTATAACCAATCAACTTCGTGACAGATTGTCTTTAATGACGAGATGACGGTGATAGCATTGCTAAACGTAAAATCTATCATTGTTACCAATAAAGATGCAAAAATGAAGAATGAGGGCTTATATTGGTTTTCACCTGATTGAGAAGATACCCCAAATGTGAGTCAGAAAGAGACAAAAGTTGAAGAGCTGAAATCATTGCACATACAAATTTTGTATAAAGCCAGAAGGCAACATTCCACGATTAATTTTCTACATAAAATAAAATGCGATTTATGTATAAATTCTTTAACTTACTAGTTACTTAGACCTATAAATACAGAATACAATTCACGGCTTATTATTTGTTGTTTCCATCCTTTGTTTATTAAAACTAGCCAAAGCTTGATGTTGGTATTTTTTGATGCGTTGGGGCTCAGCTCAGGTTCTGTTGACATTATTCTCAATTCTGCATTGATTTTCATATAAGCATATATCATTAACTGTTTCTCAGACCACTGAATAACAACTTTTGCATGACATATTTAATAGCACGGTTCATTAGCTTATAGGATTTTCAAAAATACATTATTCCTCTTCTAATTTTTAATCTGAGGCTGGCTATCTTCGAAACGCTCTTCTTATTTCTTTGGAAAATATCGACTCACTGTTCTTCAAAAAGTGCGCTTTTAAAAAAGAGTGAAATAATTTCAGGATTTTGATTATTCATGTTGCTGAAGGTTGAACAACAAATTTGTAGCTCATATCTGTTTTTAGAAAATCTTACGTCCTGTTTGTGCCAATTTTGAAACTGTTTACCGGGTACACGCCTTTTTATAAAAACACTTGGCACCAGTTTCATCCTGGAGTTTCTTATTTTTTGTCTAATTTTTGCCTAACGTGTTTCTTATTTTGTTTCTTTTTTCTAAGTAGGTTTCCTGTGCATTGTAGGGTCCGAACATAACATGTGATTGATAAAGTAATTGATTCTATTTTGCTTATCGCTTTCTGTTTTTCTGTTGCTATTTTTTCGTTTTTCAATTTTTGCTTTAATTCTATTTCTTCAGTTTCGTTGAATGTCAGCCTACCAACCTGTCTTGTTTCTCATGTTGTTCCTATTTTTTGGCCAAATCTCAGCCTGATTATAACGGTCGTTTGTTTTTATAAAATAAAGCGTGTTCGTGCTGTCAAAATTGTTAGCACTCCTTTAATTTAATCAAAACACACACGCATTTCGTTGTTTTTCATAGCGTAACTTAATTAAAATAAAGGTTGAAGTTTTAATACCAAAAAAGTTCTTGTCATAAGTATTGGACAACAAGGAGAATGTTTCGAAAGGAAGAACACACTTTTCCTCATTCTTGGGGCCTTTACGTCATGTTACATTGATTACGTTTAGCCTCTCTTCACAAATGGTTTAGCCTCAGTGCCAGTCAGTATATTGTTTGGGTTTGTTTTTGGTAGCCGAAGGTAGAGAGAACGAAAGGAAAATCAGAGGCTTGGCTGCGTTTTGCGAAAGAAACATTGTTTTTAGAACCAATCATATCATTTATATTATGAAATAATTTAGCCTAAAGCTTCTTGATTCCAAGTCGCAAGCTGTGACGAGGGCATACTCAACGAGAAAAGCGTAATAACACTTTGGCTGACTTCCGACATGACAACCGGCCTACTTTTGATTTGACCGCAACAAATTCGCTTTACGGTATTCACTTGTTTCTACGAGACAGCGTTAGATTGAAGGCCGCTGCCATTAATGATTAATCAAGTTGTGCATCCTTAGCTTAACTCAACTATGGAAGCTGCTTCGCATACTCGGCACGGACCCAGTCGTCAACAGCACAGGAGAATGAGAACTGCAGTGGAAACGGATAGAGAGATTGGCGATTTAGGCGGAGGTTTGCCAGTAGAGAGATCGAAACCAAAGAAGCAGCTTAATTTTTATCAAGCAATGAGTGACTTTCAGACAATGTTTCCTCACATTGAAAAAGATGTAATCGAAGCTGTACTCAGGGCAAATGACGGTGTTGTACAAACGACCATTGATCAGCTCCTTATGTTATCTGATGGTGCAGAAACTGATGGGAATAAACAGGACGATGTTCCCCATTTACCGAATTATAACGAGAGCCAGACTTATGAAGACGATCCACCTCCTGCTTATTCTGAAGTTGAAAGTCAGATACTCAATGAATTTGTACGGGAAAGACAGGAATTCCAACATCAAGGACAACCAGATTCTACAGATAACCTAACAAATAGAGTGAGAGAAAGGTCAACGCGCTGGAATCCAGCACTTTTAGGACCTTTACCCCCTGACTTTTTAAGATTATCTGATAGTTCTCCAGAAAGACCTTTTTCAGAAGATTCAATGGAAGTAACAAGTCAGTGTATCCAAGAGACTGCCAAGGATAATTTTCTCTCTGACAAGGACTTAGAACAATTTCTCGAAGATGAAAAGCTAGCAATGTTCCTTCAAAATGAAGAGTTTATGCGACAACTCAGAAGAGATCCAGACTTTCTTATGTCTCTAGAAGAAGGTAATATCAGATCTAGCTTAACCTTCCATTTACGAAAATGGAATGAATTTACTATTTCCTAATGCCCATTAAATAGTGGGACAGAATGCATTTGTAGCTATGCATTGCAAATAAATGACTTTTTCTCCAGGGGTATTGTATTGCTGCTTTCAAGGGACATAGGGCAACCTAGTACTTTGTTATTGTTTTGCTCTAAATCGTTTGTCTCCGCTTCCTTGGGGGTTCCTTGTATCGAATTGTCAAGTGATGACATCACTAAAAACATGTTTTTAGAATTTTGGAAATTTGTTCCCATAACCTGAAAGAGCATTAAGAAATACCCCTAAATCTGCAAAATCAGTTAAAGGTATTACAAATTGGCTGAGATATGACCAGATGAGCACAAGCTCTGGCCCCATCAAACCTCTGTAATTTGGTCTCAGTTCATAATTTCATGAACTGAGCCAAAATAATAGAACCCTTTTAGCAAACTTCAAATCTTCTATCAGCCATAGCTCACCTGATTTTTGAAAAATTTAACTGATTTTGCATATGGGAGTTTTTCATTGTGTTCTTTTATGTTTTGTGGTCTACATTCAAAAATTCTGAAAATAGTTTTTTTGTGATGTCACATTTGAGAACTCTATTCTACAATCCTGGAAAAAATAGTGGAGACTTTCAAAGGAAAATTGGTATTTCCTCTTTCCTTTAAAGAATGAATCCCCCTCCCCCAATTCAATGTTGAATGCCTGCTTTTGGTAGAACTACAGATCCAACATTGATTGAGGGGAAAGGGGGAGATTTTAAATTACAGGGGCAACATAAAGTAGAAAATTGCATTTTGTCTCAACAATTTTATCTGGTATTGTAGCTTTTATTTATTCTTGCCACTTTGATGAAAACTATGATGACAATAATTGGCTGAGTATAATGAATGTCATGTTTTAATATTTCACTAAATCAAAATTGGATCATGAATCTGCTGACCAAATAAAAATTGTGGAATCAAAACTATTTTTCCCATAGATCATAGAAGGTTCGTACACTCACAATCAGGCCCAGTTGTTGCAGATGGGGCTGCATCACCTCCAGAACATGGAGCAAAACCAATTCCTTCTGGTGGAGCACGACCTAGATATTCAAACACAACAGGCCATGATGATGTGGCATTCAATAGAAAACTCAAACACATGGGCAAATGTATGTCATATAGAAATAGCTATTTGGAAAATTTATTTTATATCTATCACTGACAGAAAACACTAAGCAACTCAGAGATGCACATGAATCAGAATTCTAACTTTAATTGGTCAAAATTATGGTTTGAGAATAATTGGAAGACATGTAGAAATAAATAAGATGTTGATTTCCTTGTCAGATTAAGATCAGAAATCTTCATCTGGCAATAATGTTTCTTGATATCATATTTGATTATGTTTTTTTGCCACCAAATTCCTTTACATGGATAGGTAACTAGTCCTTTTGATATATAAGGTTTCAATTTGAATCCCCAGAACTGCTGCAAACTACCTATTTGTACAGTGATTTAGGGATGATTCTTAACCTCAACTGTAAGAACTCTTTGAAAGACTCATAACATGACCATTGATGGGCTTGATCTTGATAAAAACATTTTTCAAAATTGTTATGAAGCATGCACTCTCCTCCACAGATGCTCTATTGTATAAGGAGATAGGAAGTGAATAGGAGAAGGAAAGTGGAAGGGCTCCTCCCTTTTTCCTTTTCTTCTGCAGTTCCTTTTATCCTTTTTCTCTTCCGTAACACCCTTGCCAATAGCCTCTGTGGAGAGGAGTATGGGACATTGACCATAATGATGAGTTCTTAACATCTTGTTTTCAGCAACACGAAAAAGGCTAGCCAAAATGGCCAAGAAGTTTTCAAGAAAAAAGTATCAAAAATTGTATCCTTCATCATTTGTCAGTACTTTCTAAAATACGTAATTAAATCATGGTGCCTCAGATAAAAGACTGATAGACAGTACCTAGCATTCTGTTTGCACATAGTAGATATTTTTGAAGACTTCTTGTTTGACCATTTCATGAATGTTTTTAAAACGTTTTGTAAGCTTGCTGGCCAGTGTGATACACCTTAAAGAGGCTTGATCATATGTTTTGAGAGAGCTTAGTTTGCTGCACTGCCTGCATATCTGTTGGAAAACGTTTACACTAAATGGTAGAATGACAAAAAAGACTCTGACACCTGACCATTATTAAGGCAGCTTCTAAATGTTTTATTAGTATAAAGTGGTTAGCTTACATTGTGGATCCTCTCTAAAGTAATATTTTTCATTGTTGTGTCCACTGAAATTTTTAAGGTTTTCATTTTCTCTCTAAAAAGTTTTTTTGCCAAATATATTCTATGCTGTGCAGCAGTTTTCATATTAAGCACAAGAGCTAAAAAGTTATTTACAGCTCTCTGTACCTTTATTATAATCTGTTTGCATTTCTTTGACATTGTGTCAGCAGTTCTCCAGTTGCTTCTTCTACTGCTAATCTGTTGGAAGAAGACAGTGAAAATGAGGACTCTAAGGGATTGGGTAAGGATTACTTTTTCTGGTGTATGGTTTTGAGTTTGCAGTCACGAACAAGCATTATTAATGTAGAGCTATTGAAGATATGTATGGCATTTCTTTCCATTTGTACCTTGCAAACTTTGACTTTTAACCTTTAGCTTTATTGATGTTGTGGACAGTTAGTCAAAATTTTGGGCTCATTATCTAAGCAGTTCCAAGTTCAACCATCATTGGTATCACTTTCCACTAGCCTTCAAACGGCGGTGAGTGGAGGGTGTGAGAGATGAAAACTAAATTTTACCGACATAAATTCTTTTGTTTCATTTGGCACACAATTATTTTGTCAAAAATGTAAATCTACCGACTCTGAAAGTTTTGGGGGCACCCCCCCTCCCCCACCATCCCTGCATGCTATGCCCCTGCACTTTAGCTTCAGAGTTGTGGTCAATATTCAGTAGTTCTATAATATATTACATCATCATTTAAGATTTGCCCATCATCATCATGCCTTTTATTTTGGCTAAAAGGAATGTTTCTAGCATTATCAGAAACGCTGTCAAATCAATGCTGGACCAATATTCTTTCCTTTGATGTATATCTGAGTTGATGCAAATTTTTTTTGATTTTCTAGAGGGTATTCAAGAGAATGAAGATGAAGTTTCTCATGACCGAGCATACAGAAGGATGCCAAACAATGATATGGTCTGTTGTGTTGTTTACCATGTATCATTTTTCAGTAGCCAGATTATAAATTTGCTACCTAGTATAAAACATGAAACTAGGTGCTTTCCAGGACACAGGCTTTTTTTAATCATTGTTACCTATGCTGGGCCTCCTTTAGTTAAAAGCCATGTCATGGAAAATTTGCAATTGACCAGGCACTGCCCATGCCCACTTGGCTTGTTACTAAGAATGAAGCAAATTTTAACTGCTTACTTATGTGTGTGACTCGGTGTCTTGTTTTGTAACAATTGTGTCTTTTTTAGAATGGCGGAAGAAGACTCCCTCAGGTGCCAACTGAAAGAAAAAGAGCCAACAATGAGCCAATTGTATTTTACAATGAAGATGACGAATTTTCCTATAAGAGCGATTAGGGTGTTTTCATGCTGTTAAGAAACTTACAATGTACTTTTCTTATGGAGTACACAAGTTTATCGGTATGAAGTAATTTCATGTCCATTGTGGTCAGTTAAACATTGCAGAAAAATTGGCAAATAGTCCGCTATGAGAATATCTTAGGCATTTCTCAACAGTAACAAAATCTATATAATTTTGTACATAACAACCATACATCTTCTCGATCCAACTATTTGAAAGGAATGTCGTTTGTATTGTAGATGACCTGGAACTGTCTTCCGGGAATCTACATTGTAAGCAAATTAATTGTATCATATCATTTCTGTCTTCTTAAGCAGGTTTTCTTCTTTGAGCAATGTAATCATTGTTATTATTCATCCGTTTCTTATATTGTATATCCCCTATAATTATTAGCTTTGATGAAGTATCATGACTCGACTGTTTGATAATTTTACGACTTTTCTTAAATCAAATAAGAACTGCTTTTCTCTTCATGATTATCCCTGCCTAGGTCCACCATTTTACTTCGAACTATCGACACTTTCCCCTTCTAAAGTTTATACGAATTGACGTTGCCTATATTACTTATGATATAAGTCGCCATTCCTATAACATAAGTGTCATATTAAAATGACTTGATAGTTTTGGGATGTGTCACTTTACCTAAAAATAAATTCCCAGGAAAATAAATGGTAACGACAAAAAAAAGAAACAACTAAAGTTTTGAATTTTCACCTTCTTCAAGAAATGCTACTTTGTATGAATATTAATTGAATCGAGGTAGATGTCGAATAGCCATCAATCTACGTTGTTATTCTTGAGATGAACGATATCGTAAGTTTTTGCCAGATTTTACTGGCAAGTATTTCATTGTTATGTAACTTCACCACAAAATTATGCGTGTATTTTCACATCACCTTACATAAATAATGGCGAGATCTTATGTATACAATTTCAGTATTATGTGTATATTCAGTTAACGAACGGCTTGTCAAATGCAAGTAGTTTAATTATCGTGTTAGCAATATTTTGATCACAGTAGCAAGTAAACTAAAATATTACTGTTCAATATTCAAAGGTAGATTATCTTATTATGGACAGATAGAGAATTTTATGGTAACAAAGGCCTACGAAACTTTGTTTATTAGTTGTACTCAGTTTTGTAAGGTGTTTGTACGGTGACATCACAAAGTTTGATTTTTCTCCTAATATCCTTTTGTACTACTAACTCTATTGCTATTTTATGAATTCCACTGTCAATTCTAGAGTCGCATAATCAAACCATAAAATGGAATGTTTAACATAACTCTTATTACGATCTTTAACACATGGTGTTTACGATGCTTTTCTGTCTTGTTCTGTTGTAGACTTTCCCAAAATATTCGTACTGCTAGGACGAATCCAAGCTATGAAGGAGAGAATATAGAGGTCTATGATTTCTCCTTCTCAGCGTAGATATGCCTATCGTAACAGTCCGAACAAATCAACTAAGTGTGTTGCAGTAAGGCAATCAACAATCAATACAACATTTTGTATTTTATCATTTTATTAGTAAAAATATGTGGTATACATTACACGCTCATTTCAAACACACACTGACTACATTAAACCATAAGCAATTAGTTTTTAGTTATCGGTCCCTTTAGAAAATATGATTACAAAAGATATGTGTAAATGTTCCAAGTCAATTAACCAAGCGGCAAATACAAAAGATATTACCAACAATAAATGTGTTAACGATTAAACCTATGTAGATCTATTACGAGACAAAAGAAATAGTAAGAATACTGAAAACACGACCTTGATTAATAGCACGCTGGTTAATTACGCAAGTAAACCGTGGGAAAGGCGTTTGCGCGGCAAACTCCCTGCTTTCCGCGACACTCTCCCCCCTTGACTCACTCCGAGTCAAAAACAAGACGGGTCCGCCATAGCGCGTCGGCAGCTGCAGCTCTACGAGGCCTATTTCGTACTTCCTTTCTTTCACTGTCACCATTTCCTATATCCCCCACTTCGTCACTTGTCCCTGTTATCTCCAAAGGATAAAGTTTAGTAATTGGTCTATTAAGTAAATCTCGCTTACCTTTGCAAATCTTAACTACAGAAGCACCCCGTATCTTACCATCCTTACCGACAATTATTCTTTCGATTCTTCCAATCTTCCATTGACTTCTTTTGACATTTTCATCCTCTATCAATACTATGTCTCCTTTATGAATGTCACAATTGTCGGCTCCAGCAGCATTATGCTTTTCACGTAGTTCCCTCAAATATTCGGTTCTCCATCTCTTCCAAAAATGTTGTAATTTCCTAACTAGATAAAGGAATCGTTTACTATGCGAAGTTTCATCATCAGAATAATTAAATTCTATATGATCTGCAAGAGGTGATAATCTCCTACCAAACATTAAATGAGACGGTGTTAGTATGTCAACATTAAAATCATCCTCGTATATGTACGTCAGTGGTCGAGAATTCAAAATTCCTTCCACTTCTACTAAAACAGTATGCATTTCATGAATTTTGAAAAAGAGCATTGCCAAGAATTTTTCTAAGTATACGTTTAACTAAACCAACCATTCGTTCAAACATGCCACCCCACCACGGACTTCTTTCTAGATTAAATTTCCATTCTATTCTTCTTGACTCCAACTCCCGCTGCATATCTTTATTTCTGAATATACGATTGATAGACTTGGCTGCTGCCTTAAAAGTTTTTGCGTTGTCGGATACGATTAACTCTGGCGTACCTCTTCGAGCAGTAAATCGTCTTAAGCATCTTAAGAAAGACTGAGCTGTAAGGTCTTCCACCAATTCTAAATGTAAAGCACGTGTTACACAGCATGAAAAAAGGGTGATATACGTTTTACGTGTTTTACCCTTTAACCCCTTGACATACAACGGTCCAGCAAAATCAACACCTACTTTGCTGAAAGGCGGCGACTCCTGTACTTTAAAATTTGGTAACGGTGCCATAGGGGGTGCCTTATAAGCCTTACCCTCCAATTTCTTACAGATTATACAAGGCTTGATAAGCTTCTTAATGAATTGCCTCCCCTTAGTAATCCAAAACCGAGATCTTAATTCCGTTAAAGTGATACGAAGACCCTCATGCCCCATTAACGCATGGACATGTAAAACAACGAGTTCCGTGAAATGATGGTTCTTTGGCAATATTATAGGAAATTTGCTCTCAAATTCCATATCTGAGTTTGATAGTCTACCTACACATCTTAAAATACCACTCTGCTCTTCAATGCGTAGCTGTTTCTTAAGCAATTCAAATTTTGGATCTTGTTTCAAGACTGCCTGCGCATTAATAATCCACAACCTTTCCGCAGACAAGATTTCTGGTACAGTTACAGATCCAATTAATTTTTCCTGTTTGTTCATTTTAGCTTTAAGATTATTTATGAATCGGCAGACATATGCAGTAACGCGTACAAGCTTATCATACGAACTGTACTTATTAATGTCAATGAGTTGATCAATATCCTTAGAACTCTCCTCTCTAATCAACATGGAATTGACAACCTTCTTACGTTCCACATCTACTTCAGAAGGTCTACCTAAATCAATATTTGACGGCCAACAAGACTTATCCTGACATAACCAGTCTGGACCATGCCACCATAACTCACTATCCTTCAAAGTATCAACATAAACCCCACGCGATCCTAAATCTGCTGGATTATCTTTACCGGGACAATGTCTCCACTCTTCACTTGAAGATAACCTTAAAATTTCATTCACTCTGTGTTGCACAAACTGTTTCCATTCATTTCTGTTATTTATCCAAAACAATGCGGTTTTACTGTCAAGCCAAAGATACCTTTCCTCTATATAACAGTAACTACTTAAGGCTGAGGAAACAGTTTTCATTAGTGTTGCGAGAATTCTAGCAGATATTAATTCTAAACGCGGGATAGAAAGAGCTTTCAATGGTGCTACTCTGGTTTTTGAACATACTAGCTGACTGAAAACTCCTTCCTTAGCTTCATAAACAAAATACACGGTAGCACAATAACCCTTTAAAGACGCATCAGCAAAACCATGTAGGGAACAATGCAAAATTTTCTCAGCATTCTTCCCATACAAACATCTGGGAATAACAATAGAGCCCACATTAATTAATGAACTTAACCAAATATTCCAACGCTCTAATTTATCAGGGGGTAACTCGTCGTCCCACCCAATATTTTCGACACACAATTCTTGAAAAAGAAATTTCCCATTAATCAGAATAGGCGAAAGAACTCCTAACGGGTCAAAAGTTTTGGCAAGAAAACTTAATATTTCACGCTTCGTTACTTTCTTACCCAGTAGTTCGGATGCAATTTTCGAAAATTCGAATTGCAAGGTATCTTCACGTTGATTCCAATGAATCCCTAAAACTTTACATGAGGAATCAATATCCTTTCCCTCATTCAAGATGGTTTTCGCATACGAATTGTCGCATTCTTTTGTCTTAAAATTCAACTCCTGAATAGCCTCAGATTCAATAACCTTCGCGACTTCGGGTTCATTAGTTTTCCATTTGCGTAAATGAAAACCTCCTTCAGCCATCCTGTTCTTAACCTTATAATACAATTCCAGCGCTGCTGTTACATTCTTAGCTCCTGATGCTAGGTCATCTACGTAAAATTCATTTCTTACATGTGATACAAATTGCGGATCGACCTCTGTATATTTGTCAATATGATGACGTAAAACAGCATTGAGTAAAAATGGAGATGAATTTACTCCAAAAACTACTCTATTAAAACGATACGTCTCAATAGATGGCGACTGGGAATTTATGTCATTAACCCACAAAAAACGTAAACAATTCCTGTCTTCAGGATGCACTTCTATGTTTAAAAAGGCTTTCTCAATATCGGCGACTAAGGCGACTTGGTGATGTCTCCAAGAGACAAGAAGATCAAAAAGCAACGGATTCAAGGACGGGCCTACGTGTAAACAATCATTCAAAGAAGTACCATTGTGTTTTTCTCTACACGATGCATCGTAAACAATACGCAATTTGGTGGTCTCTGCCTCCTCCCTTATAACAGCATGATGTGGTAAATAATGAACATTGCTAGAATTATCTAAACCTACAACCTTCTCTATAATCCCCCTCTCAAGCTGGTCCTTAATAATATTGTCATACTCTTGCAATACTTCAGGGCTTTTCTTGAGTTTAGATAATTGCCCCTTTAATCTCGCTACACTGACACCGTAATTAGTTGGAAGGGGTTTATGGGCTTCCTTCCATGGCAATTTAGTCGAGTAACGCTCGCCTGTAAATTCGATATTATCCACAATATCTTCATGAACATCAGTTGTAGGCCGTACTCCGACAGAATCTAAATCCCATAGTTTGTGGATCTGATCCTGTAAACTGGCCTTATCATTAAACACATTAGTTTCCTTATCCGATACAAAATTGATATTGACATTGCTGACAGAAGTAACATCAACGATCTCACCTTTAACTGGTCCTGAAAGAACCCAACCCAACTTTGTTCGTACGGCGACCGGCTCGTTCACACCTCCTTTTCTCGTTTCGTCCTCCATAAACCGCCACATGTAATCTGCACCGATCAGAATTTGTATGCTTAGTTGCTCTTCTTTCGAATCAACGTCTGAAAACCAAATGTCCTTCAGATGAGCAAAATCCTTCTTTACGATCTCTAAATGTTGGTTTTCCAGCTGTGAGATGGAATCTACAACACAAGCTTCAAATGGGATGTTATACTTCTTATCTACAGACGACAAAGTGATTTGAACAATGTCCTTTGCAGAAACATCTACATTAGTCTCACCAAATCTACATATACGCAAATTCTCCTTACGAGAAGGAAAAATGCCTGCTTTGTTCACAACCTTGGAGGTAACAAAGGACCTGTGACTTCCCCCATCAAAAAGTACTCGCACTTTCACTTTCCTCGTTCCATTAACATAACCTTGCGCGGTTTGGAGAGCTACCCTCCCCCCACATTCAACACTCTCTACGCAAGTATTCGTGTTCGCCTTTCCGACATCCTTACACGCAGTAGAATTAGCATTACCTTGTTCACATAAGGCACTATGGTGTCTACCCTTACAAATATTGCATGAAATATTGTTTCTACATTTGAAGGATAAATGACCCTTTGCTAAACAAAGAAAGCAACGACCATATTTTTTCACAATATTTTTACGTTCACTAAAGTCCTTTACATTCTGACAATCAATTTCTTCATGAAATTTTAAACAAAAGGCGCATCGATGGTCCTTTGCAACGCTGTGCAAGGCACTCGATGTTCTCACCCAATCTTTGCCTTTTCCACTAGCAATCATTGACTGCATTCCAGACGAACCAGCAAGGTTTGGCTTCAAGATTGAAACGTGCGACTCTCGTACTTCAAGCTCGTTTCTCAACACTTCCAAAAAAGACGAAATGGGTAAATCTTCAGAGCCCTTCACCGCTCGCAACATA